AATATGAAAACTTGCTTATGCAATTATCTACACTTCAACGCTAAACTAAATGTTGAAGATCAAATAACTCGATTCCTACAAACTACACATGTTATAATAGAAGGGAACAATGATTAAATGATGAAGTAAAACTGCGTGTGGAATTTAGAAATCGTTTTTTTTTAATTCATTTCTTAATCTTTGAAGAAAAAGCTTTATACAATTTAATTAATATGCATTATTAAGAAAAATATGTGTTCAAGATCAAGGTTCTGTTTCAAGAGTTTTTAAAGTAGGTTGTTATTTAATCGACAAAATGTTTTTTTCGATATAGTTTTGTCCTTTTAAATTATTTAGTATATCAATCTTCCAAAGAAATTTGAATGGAACAAAAATATACCAAATTACATTTGACAAGATTATAAAGAATTGTCTAATAATATTTAATTTTTGAAATTAAAATCATAAGTCACAACCAAAACCCGTAAATGTTATGCCTATTTAAAACATATTTACGTAAATTGATATTTAATTTAAATGAAAGATGTTTTTGAAGTTTTTAAATTACTCCTAAAATATGCAATTGAACCTATATAATGGATGTATTTATCAATATCATGCAGGTTTTCAATTAAATATGAAAATAATTTTCCCTTTTAAAATACACATAATGGGTATAGAATAGCTCATCCCACTACTATCAGATAATTAACTAACCAAGCACAATACCCTTGTATACGTGACAAAAATATACACAGAATATAATTATTTTTGAGTTATATAAAGAATTGATATTTTAATATTTGCATTGAAATATTATAAATCTGCATATAATTTATCATTGACATATGATAAGTAGTTCTGCGTTGGCGGTGTAGTTTCAGCGAAAATTAAATTGAAATAAGATGGGTTTTTTGTATTTGCAGTGCTTAGGTCAGAAATAAAGAAAAGATTGAAATGAAAATAAAATTAAAGTTGAACGAACATAATCGAGGACTTACAGAATTATTCTGACTAACATAAGCTATAAGAGAGGGATATTAAGGGCCAACATTTAAACTGTCCCTCAGCTAATTATTCTCTTGAAAATGCATTTTACCAAATGTTTTAGGCGGTTTTCGTTTGAGTGACGAGCTACCACTTTATACTATGTGTCCAATTTTGACTCATATTTGTACTAAATATAAGACAGTGCGACAGAACCAGTAGTTTTATACTACAAGCATGTTCGCCTCCACTATTTGAGATCGAGGGTTCATTCACCAACCGGGTAAAACATTGATATACTGGTGCTTCCCCCAATGTTATCATGTTTACACAGTTTTGGCTGCTGGATCCAAATTATTGTCTAATCAACCTATTGCGTCTGTTTGGGTTGCTTACCCAATTTTGTCAATATAAAGGAACTATAAGCAATTGTCATACAAGTGGGAGGTTTAGCTAGCTTCAAAACCAGGTTGAATCCACAATTTTCTATATAACACCAGTTAAAACATTTTTTAAAAGTGTAGTTTTTTTTTCTTCGGAAAATGCCAGTACCAAGTCGGGAATGTGACGGTTGTTTTTCATTCGTTCCGTTAGTTGATAAAGTCTCACGTTTGATTTTGGCGGTTTTTATGAACTTCCGCTTTTGTGAATTAACCTTTTAGTTTGGTGTTTTTGTTGTACTTTCTTTTACACAATCAATACATGCAACAAATCAACACCATTGGGGGACTGTCAGTTCCCAAGGATTTCAGAAGTCAGGGTTTCGTACGTACTGACATGATTTATTACGTACTATTCTAAAATTCCCATTATGAAATTATTAATAAACTAGGTTCCAACTCCCTCAGGCAAAGTTGACGTCAGGGTTATTTGACTATGCTATTGATCTCTTTTTGTCATGAAGCTCCTTACGTTTCTACGTATCTATACATCCCTGGCTTTTAAATGTTTAAGTTGGAGTGTTCCTAATGAAGATTAATCCAGAAAAGCGCCTCGCCTCGGACGCACGACATTTATTAAGTGTTATATTTTCATTTAAAGATCGATACTGATTTTAAAGCTACGTCCATTTTTCTAAAATTCTCCGATAAACATTATAGTCACTTATGAAGAGGGCATTTTCAAAATAAATCGACAAATCTTTGGACATTTTTATTGTCTTCAATATTTAATATAGGCTGCTTTTTGTTGATGTTTTCTATCTCCCTGACATTTACGTTACATCTATTAATCATAAATTGTAGACCATTGTTTTCAAAGTCAAAGAAATCTATTGCATCTTCATGAGATAAATCTTTTAGTCCGAGTGGATGTTATACTTAGCCTTCCAATTTATCCACAGAGTTTTATTTTATCTGAAATATGATAGCTTGTAAGTCGTTTTAAAGTCAATATCCACATTTTAGGTGTAGATTTATTTATCATTTTGACACACCTGACAGGAATACAATTAGAAGTGTTTAAACATGCGCAACACAAAGTTATCTCGTATAGTTGCGAGACATTGCGAGATCCTATTCGGTAGTTTACATATTTGCGTGTCATTAGTAACCAAGAGGTTCGATACAGTGATACAAGTTGAGATTTGAACAATACTGAAGCTACTGTGAAACTACAATACAACAGACATGCACACAACAAAACAACAAAGTTAACAGTCCTGTTACTATAGTTTGAGAAACGCGAACTGTCATAAATACTTGGTATGCGGGATGGTTAAGTTCTCAAAAGTTCCTTAATAATTTTGTATTTATTGTTATAGGTGAGTTTCCATACAACACCAACATGATCAATTCATCTTGATACTATATGTGATCAGTATATATTTACAATTGTCTCATATTTTAAATGTTTTGCATGATTTAAAAATAAGAAGATGTAATATGATTGCCAATGAGACAACTCTTGATACAGCTTCGCGACCAAATGACACAATAAAACGATTTGAATAAGTATTGTAACAGAAAAAAGTAAAATAACAAAAATACCGAACTCCCAGTAAAATTCAAAACGTAAAGTCCCTTATCACATGGCAAAAGCAAAAGCTCAAACACATCGTGGAAAACAACTGTCATATTACTGACCTTGTACAGGCATTTTCTTTAGTAGAAAATGGTGGATTAAACCTTGTTTTACAGCTAGCTAAACCTTTCACTTGTATGACAGTCGCATAAAATTCCATTATATTGACAACAATGTGTGAACAAAACAAACAGACATTACAGAAAAAAATGTCAAAAATAGGAGTACAGCAGTCAACATAGTGTTATAATCTTAATCACTATAAAACAAACAAATATGTCAACAAAGAAAAACAAAATGGCATGTAGACAAAGCACGTAAGCAAAAATGAAAGACAAGAATACAAAAATGACCATAGCACAATAACACAATGGCGGGATGTATAACTACCGAGCCACGCCAAAAGGATATTACCAAAAATGGACTAGACAGTATAGGTTAATAATTTACAAAGACAAATAAAAGAACACTATAACACGTAATTAAGATGATGAACAACGTCAGTACCTAGAATTTATACCTCAGGACCATCATGTATTATTTGTGAAGTTAATACGGAATATATATCATATTTATCCGATAAACTTATAAAAAAAAGGACCAGACGTTCTTTGACATAACCCTGGTTCATCAACTTTCTGCTCAAACAGTTTATAAGTTACTGTAGATATCTTAATTCTTTTTCAGGAAAATGTCCGAGTTTAAAAATTATGTTTCTAACACGCAATCGTTTGATAAGTTTGTCTTGTTGCACATTACTCTATGTAAACTGTACTTAATTGTTTGGTCCTTTTTCTTTTGAGAAAAAATCGAAATTAAAAGATCTTGGTAATCTAACCTGTTTATTTTGTTTTGATTATTGACTTATTGACGTATTTGTTTTTATTAGAGCTACTTTGCTTCAATATAACAAGGAATTTCAAACGGTGATATCCGCATTGCAGTTTATATTTTAGGCAATCATTTACGTATTTCACAAATGATCGAGGAAAAACAAAGCAAACATACTTAGTCTCGGTTTTAATCAAAACCCAAGAAAACATAAATCGAGCGAAATAATAATTAATAATAATCTTGCATTAATAAACATGATTTTATTCATCATTTCTTTTGAAATTTTTCAATTAAACCTATACAGGAAGCGTTTAGAGTAAAATGTACGTGCAATTCAATGTACTTTTTCGATACCTTTTTTGAAAGTCATCGACAAAATAGACACTTGTGTTAGTTCAGGATCGATTACCGACAATCACTTTAATATATCAATATGAGTAGTCTATCTTTTTAAGATACTTTAGTGCAAAGATATAGAAATTTGATTTGTACACTTTAAGCACTTGGATTTTAATGGTTTAGTCGATAATGCTGATAGTTTAAACAATAGGTTGTCATCCTCAATAACCCATTCAAAACTCATTTCATATGTCACGTGGCAATAATGGTTAACCCTTTTTGAGGTCATACATTTGAACATTATTTGTGATGTATTGAATCTTTATTGCAGTATTACAGTTTGCCTTTTTATTGAATAGTTAAGTCAATATTCATTTAATTAACGTTGAGAAGAGTTTTACCATGCATTATTAAATCTTGGTATTAAGTGAGTAACATAATTGTAAAATTCTTTTGGATCTGAATGGGACATTTGTTAATATTTGTCTATATTACTAAGTTGATTTAAAAGATTTAAAAGAATCAAAAGTTATTTGTTGGGAGAAAACTACAGTTACAATTTGAGGAATATAGTCTTGATATTTCTATGATTTCTGGTTTGGTCAAAATTGTGTGTAATGTTACTTTATATTTGACTTTGTGTATAAATGACATTGCAAGCTATATTAATGTGAACAACTCGGCCGAGTCCGTACCTCCATCTAATAGATGGAGAGAAGCGCAGTCACCCGAGGTTACCCGATTGGCTACATCTTCGCAACCAGACGACACAATCAAAATGTATTAAAATAAGTATTGTTACAGTTTATTATAAGTTGATATCTTAATTTTGTTTTCAGGAAAATGTACGAGCTTACAAATTATGTTTCTGACACGCATTCGTTTTATGAGAAAACAGATGAAGAACGTCAAAATGAAAATAAGAATGAAAGACCAAATAAAAATGTTCCACCAGTATTTAACAAGAGACTGTTCGTTACTTCTGGCAATGTGGTTATCACAAAGGAAGCTAGACGAATTATGGCTCGAAATGCACGATACAGACCGGAAGAGGACCCTGTTTTATCGAAGACAGATTTGCGTACTATGAGATCAGTTGTTGAAGGTCTAAAACTTATTCACAAAGATCAAGGTCACATCAAAGATGCATTAAGTCATTGTGTTACCATGGAAACGTACGATGCTTTCCAGTACGTTGTAAAGAAACAATGGGAAGACGTATTGTCGTGTTACTACATTGTTCACGGGGCTGCTGAAGTGACGTATGATATGCGTGCTACATCATCAAGAGCTGTGTATCAACCGAATATTATTTATAGTCATGGAACTGGAGAATACCTTGGAATTGTTAGTTCCGAAGACAGGACAGAAGACATAGCTCCACCTGCTACTGTATATACTAAAGAATTTTGTGAATTTCTAAGAATTGATCGTGACAAATTTCACATAATATGTGAAAGATTCAAATCTATTCTCTTAATGGAAATAAGACGTTATGTTTTTGGAAAGTCAGCAATACTCGCAAAAGTTTCCAGGGAAGTGCGAGAAAAGATTCTACCTCTTATTCAAAAAGAAGTAGGTATATTTTCAATATTTCACTATATCAAAAGTTTATATAATCCTGATTTTGTGAAGTTTATTGAGTCCTAAAGCATTGTGTTTTCATTTGTTTTAAATACCCGCCTCCACAAAAAAAAAATAAACAATTCAGAAAGAGAAACACTTATTTAACCTTTGTTTGCCCGTTCGTTCACCCGTGCGCCTGAAAGGTATACATTGTATGTTTTTATTGTTTTCTTTAGCTATTAAGAAATTCAAATGTACTGTTTTTTTTTTGTTTGTGATTGGTATGTACCTAGAATGTTGTCTCATCACAGAGTCTTAACATGTTTTTCTACTTGCTTTTCTGTGCGTTTGATTGCTTCGGTCAATTATTGTCCTTTCATATATTTATGTGCTTGGACAAAAACCTTTTTGGTTTTTATTGCTATATCAATACTCGTCTGTGTATTGTTCATTTACATATATGTTACTTTCATATCAAGCCTCGATCTAGTCTAGTATCTGACGTATGGTGTTTTGGGGAAAATGTATTAACACCAATACCGAATCCAAGATAAATTCAAAATGAGGGAAATCCATTAAACCCGACAAAACCAAACGATTGACTATATCAATCAACTGAATGACTGGATAACAACTGTCACATTCCCTTTGGGATTTCCTTTTCATCATTAGGGAGCTACCATTTGATTTTTATGGGGGGGCTAGGATGAAAAATTGTGTCCTGCATTTTTTTTTTTTTGTTGTTTATCCTGACTTTTTATATATAATTTGTCATCCTGCCTTTCTTTTTGCCAAGTTGCTCATCCTGCCTTTTTTTTTTAATCAAAACTTCTGTCCTGCCATTTTTATACGCCCGTCAAATTTTTGACGGGACGTATTATGGTATACAAATGTCCGGCGTCCGTCCGTCTGTCTGTCCGTCCGTCCGTCTGTCTGTCCGGCGTAAATAAACATGTCGCACCGTAACTTGAGAATGACTTATCCAAATTTAATGAAACTTAACATAGTTGTTTCTTATGATGATCAAACGATCTGTATACTTTTTGGTGAAAATAAGATTAAAACTTTTTGAGTTACGGGACTTAGTAACTAAAACAGGTGTGTGTTTTTTTCACATGTCGCGTCGTATGTCAAAAACAATTTATGATTATTGCTTAAAACTTTACACACTTCTTAGTTATATTAATCTTAAGATCTGTATACTTTTTGGTGATGATTCAAAATTTTATTTTAGAGATATTGAGTATTTTGTTAAAAATTGGGGAGGGGTTTTTCACATGACGCGCCGTATCTCAAAAACAGTTTATGATTATTGCTTAAAACTTTACACACTTCTTAGTTATATTAACCTTAAGATCTGTATACTTTTTGGTGATGATTCAAAATTTTATTATTAAGTTATTGAGTATTTTGTAAAAAAAGGGGGAGGTGTTTTTCACATGTCGTGCCATATCTCAAAAACAATTTATGATTATTGCTTAAAACTTTACACACTTCTTAGTTATATTAATCTTAAGATCTGTATACTTTTTGGTGATGTCTCAAAATTTTATTTTAGAGATATTGAGTATTTTGTTAAAAATGGGGGGGGGGGGGGGGGTTCACATGTCGCGCCGTATCTCAAAAACAGTTTATGATTATTGCTTAAAACTCTACACACTTCTTAGTTATATTAACCTTAAGATCTGTATACTTTTTGGTGATGATTCAAAATTTTATTATTAAGTTATTGAGTATTTTGTAAAAAAAGGGGGAGGTGTTTTTCACATGTCGTGCCATATCTCAAAAACGATTTATGACTATTGCTTAAAATTTTACACACTTCTTAGTTATATTAATCTAAAGATCTGTATACTTTTTGGTTTTGATTCAAAATTTTATTTTAGAGATATTGAGTTTTTCGTAAAAAAAAGGGGGGTTTTCGCATGTCACGCCGTATGTCAGAAACTATTTATGCTTATTGCATAAAAATTCACACACAAGACGACGGGCGTATCATGCGCTCATGGCGCAGCTGTTTATTTTCAAATTTCATCCTAGGCCCCCTCCCCCATAAAAATCAAATGGTAGCTCCCTTAAAGCTGTTGCGTTTTAAGCGAATCCTTCAATAGACTAAGTTAGGAACATGAAAGTCAAAAACCAATAAATCCAAACCAAAACAGGTCTACGAAAGAAAAATGGTAAAAAAACCAGCTTAGGGAGCTTTCATATAAAAGAAGGGATACGATGTTGTAGTTCATGATATTTATGATTATGAAAAATTAAAACAGCAATTTTGACAATGTATGAAAGTTTTCATTATGTAAGACAACATTCATGATTATTTATTATTAAACTGTGTGCAGTTATCTGACTTATTTGTTTTGGACATCAGAAGAAAGATGCTATAAATTTGACAAAATAATATTTTTTTCTGTGGTTTTTAAGTGACCTCATTGTGACTTCATTCGTCCTATGGAAAATCAACCGAAGTGACATCTGTTATTTTTTTAATGTTGCTTATTTAAAGGGAAGCTCCGCAAAAAAATGAAAAATTGATATTTTGTTCTTTAAGCATAAAAAACCACATGTTCATAAATAAAAAACTTTTATTCTCTATGTAAAGAGATCAAAATCGATTTTTGAAATTCACTATCAGTTCTCGACATATCGCCATCTTGTCGGCATGTTCGATCTAAAAAGTCACGTGATATCTATAAACCACAAAGAACAAAAAGAATCGGGGATTTACCGACCGTGCGTTAAAAACTCCCATCATCAATTGGGGTTACCGTAGACGGTTATTCAGTGTCAAATGTCTTGTCAAGCGTACGGTTGTTCTGTCAGACAAGGTTATGACAAAAGTCTACATAGTTTTCCCAATCCCACAAAAAAGAAAGAATTGTATCAGACATGGTTGTACAACCTTAAACTTACAGCAAATAGTTGCATCTATAGCAAGCACAAGTTGGTCTGTGAAGACCATTTTGAAGAATATTGTTTCGAGGGAGATTCGATGGTAATTATCCTTTTTTTAATAACAAAATAACCAAGCAGTTCTGATAGCTATAGTTATCAAATCCTTAAATGATAAGATCTCGTTGAATAAATAAAATATAGATTTGATGAGGAAGAACAGTTTCAATTATAAGAAAGACAAATGCAGTGTTCTTGTAACAATCACTGATTTACAGAAGATTCATTAGTATGCCTCTTTTATATAAAGTGCATTGATTTGTGTAAAGAATAGTTCCGTATTTAGACAAGATAATTTTTCAAATAATAAATTTATAAGATATAAAATAACATTTTTTTAATTATGATATTTAACGGCTATTGACAAGGAGCAATGTTAGGAAGAGGTTTTAGCTGGGACATAATATGCTGATATAGTATAATTTTCCCAGGTTATAGATATGTAAATATCGAAATATCGGACATCTCAATTTTTTTTATTAAAAGTGGGTTTTTTTCAACTAATCTTTAAATTATATCAAATTGATACGGGATCAATTCGGAACGGTCACTTATAAAGACACTTAGCTTTACAGTTAAATGTGTGACTCTATCTGGTATGTTCGGTGAAAAATTTATATGTTTTTTTTTCTTTTTAAATTATATTTACGTTATCTTATTATATATATTTTTTGGCTCCTCCCGAATTGATAATAGGTATGTCAGAATTATTGATAGATGTCGTGTCAGAGCGACACATTCAGTTAGGTATTCCAAGGCCGTATATTAGATACACGTCCCTGGGTATTCCAGTGACATCCTGTCAACTAAAAATTCGTATTACACAATTATATAATACAGGTTCATGCATGGCCTCTTTATTGAGGTACCCGGTGTGCACAGGTAACATTTATTGAACCATATATTTGTGTCTAACGTTGTTTATCTTGTGTGTGTTTGAAATTATAATTCCACCTTTTAATGAATGATATTCTGATAATAATATTATCCACTATTTTTGCTGATAATAAGTTTAAAAAAAATTATAAACATGACCTTTGAACATTTTTGTGAAATGAATATTGTTTTGTCATGATTCTGGACCATATTTTTGAGAGAAAAAAATTCTTCACGCAAATACAAGCTTTTGTCGATTGGCAAACATGCAGATATACTTAGTATAAAGTAATGCAGCACTTATAGTCACTATCAATATTAATTCATTGAAGATAAGAGAGCCCCTTCTATGTCTAATGTCTCTATATCTTTATAAGGATTAGGACGACAGGGGAAAAAGGAGCGGAGATAGAGTGGCATAGTGAAAAAAAAATAACCGAATAGAGAACAATATAGAGAATGATCGACGAAAAGCGAAATAGTTATTGTAAAGGAGCGGAGATAAAGAGAGGCATAGTGAAAAAAAAATGTTTGCTTGACAAAGTTATTGCTCGCTTTGATATTTTTAGTTATACAAAATCACACATCGTGTACCTAATTGGTATTCACGTGCACTAACTTGATGCTGGGAACAGTATATTAATATATATGTTCCTGCTTGATGTGTAAAGTTTCTGCATAGCATGGTTAAAAATAATTAGTATCCCATTTGTTATATCGTAGTGTCACGGTGTTACTTTGATTAATTTATTTAGTTTGTTAATGATTGTGTAAATAAGAATAAATCTGTATAAAAACTTCATACCATTTTAGTGATTGCCTATAGGCGTTTGATTATTGATACATTTAAGAGATATATATATTTTTAGAACCTTTCATACATCTTAAAGTAAAAGATGTGTGTCCGAGTTAAACGACACAAGAACCCTGTAATACTAGTACGAGATTAAGCATGTAAAGATTCCTACTCAATATGGTTGTATTGGAAATCTTTTCATACAGATTGACAACTCATGGTCCGACATGCATGTAATATTTGCCACATAGTTCTTTCTACCATCATCATCTTATTCATTAAACATTGCTGTAAACATCGATGGTTCACACCCAAACAAAATGGGAGTAATATACCTTCAGATCTTTTCCGTGGTATACACTTGTGAAATATATAGACGAAATTCGGTATTGATGTGAATCTACATCTCACAAACACAATTTTTGAATTACGATTTTGAGTGAACACCCACCAAACCAATACAAACGTATGGCAAGATATAACCATGCAGGCATTTAGTTTTCGTCAGACACAAGATAAATAATCACTCTCATAAACGTATATATGCATGCAGTTTCAAATATCAAGAACAAGCGATCGATGTCTATAGATCATTGTTAAGTCCGTTTACTAACTGTTCAGAGTCAGACATGTCAATAGTTCATTCTTGGAACCTTCATATACCCCATCCGACGATGGGAACTCTTTCTGATAGTGTTGACAACATAAGCTTGTTTATCTGTACAAGTGGTTGCATGGCCTCTTCTGCCCCAACAAACAAATACGCTACTAGTCTGCTATCTCTGGAGCTCATCCTCAATGGCGCATATACGTCAGGAAACTTACAAGTATACTAGTAAAGATTGTTTCAAGAACAACGAGGTTGGGACGAACTGTTCTAAAATCGTCAATATCAGTAATACATTACTAAGATATGCCTTTAATTACAACAACTGTATTACTAATTTGGATTAATGACGGCTATCCTAAAAAAAATCCTCAAACAAATTAATGTATTAGCTTAGATTTATAATGTATGTATATTCATTAATGAAATAAACGATAATTGGTATTCTTTTCACAAATAATTTATCTAAGTGATTGTCAAACGAATTTAATTATGTAAGAATGAAATATTAATAAGAAAATTAAAAAAAATCATACATGTTGTACTGTTGTATTTTTTCAATTAAAAACTTTAAAATTGCGATAGTTTTACGATTGTTAGCATTTAAACATCGCCAGATTTAAATATAAGTTAAAGAATTCCGGTAAAGTAAATTAAACAGATGTGCAATGATTATTAATTGGGAAAAGTAACATTTAATTTTTAAGATTAAAAGTACTATTCTTTTAACTTCATATCTTAACTTTATGCGAATTGCATAGAACGTAACCGAAAATTGTTCCATTTTAATATTGTAACACTTCCGGAATTAAAAAGTTGAATGTTAATTTTCAATTTATTTATACAATTTATTTATTGTTTCTCTATTGTCATCGGGTATTTCATCTGGGTATATTAAACACGCTATACTCTTTCTGATAATCCATTCAATATGACAATATTCACACCTGTGTACGCTTGATTTCACACCTGTGTACGCCTGAGGCTAAATTGCTGCAAGGTAAAGTTCAAACGAATTCTCCTCAAATCGATAAATAAACACTGACTTTACAAAATAATATACACACTCTGTTCACAAAATTTTTACCTTGAAATGGTTACCAAAGTTATAACGGTAAATAAAACGTAAAATATTTTCAGTTTAATATCAGTCAAAGTGTTCAACAGATATTTTATGAAAAAATCTTAACAATAATTTATGAAATTAATTCGAAAATATTTATATTTAGATAACTTCATATAGGAAGTTTTATTCAATCAATACAAAACGGTACACACATATTCATTTTCTTTCATTCTTATATTGTGGTTATTAACTACGACCAACGGTCATCTGTGCGCTTTTAATTACGTAAAATTCTGATAAGCAATTAAGACTTTAACAGATTTTATTTTTTCCCATGATTCAACAAATCGGGTTAAAACGTCACAACCCAGTGACGTAGGTCAACCAAAAAAGTTACAAATACTTGATTTTCTCCGTTATTAGAAAGAATATAAATTTAAAACTTTGTGAATGTGTTTTTTATGTTAAGATGAACATATTTAGATGATAAGTCAAAAATCGCGGACTTTCCCTTTAAAATATTCTTCTAAGGTATATAAATATTTCAGCTATATATACAAGAACAACAACACTAAAATCACTTTTAGTATGTTTTTGCCATAGGTTATACATGTGGGATTTTTTTCTTGAATTTATACACCATTACCCTTCTTTACCGCGTATTTTACTTAGTGTAATGAACTTAAGTCCACATTTTAATGATTGAGTATGTACATTCATCGATGTTAGAGTGTATTCCATAATTAAATGTGGTCCATTTTATTTTGAAGGAATACTCACCAAATAAGACCATTCTACACCAAGATGAAGTTTCAGAATATTTATACATTATTATTTCTGGTAAGTAATAATACACTGAAGTTACATGTATCAAGTGGAAATTCAAAACCCATGAGTCGCAGAAAAACTGACAACGCCATGGAAATAAAACCAAAACGACGAAAAGACTCTCAAGTCTAATGAATACTACATAGAAAACTAAAGACTGGTCAACACCAAATCCAACAAAACAAACCGGAAGTGACCTCAGGTGCCCCGGAAGCATAAGCAGACCCCGATGTTTCAACCGGAATAAACCCGAGTATAGTTCAACATGTACAGGGGAGATAATAATAATCAACATTCTGTGTTGCTAAAGCTAATACTATTCTCAAACAAATAAACACTGTAACTGCAGTCATTAACTAACAAACATCAAAAACTTTATCAAAACATCAATGAATTTCAAAGCAATTTAAATTTGATATTGCATTGAACGAAGTATAAATGATGATTTATTACTAACCGTGAAATTATGTGAAAAACAGTCCTTTTTATGTTCATACATATGGTAACATTAAATTATACGCAATTATATTGCTATCTCGTGTAAATCATAAATTACGAAAATAAAAAGTAAATAAAAAGTATTCAGATTTTATCACTGTAACATAATATAAAAATGAAAAAGATTTTATGAGATGTTGATTGACAATTGCAAAGCGAAACGAATAATATATCTTTTTTAAATGTTTATGTATTAGAGCAGATACTCGATACAGTACACATAACTTCACTTTTTATATTTTTTAAGACAAAAACATTAAGATATAACAAGGGCCACCACTGACATGGTTAAATTTTATTTAAACCACAAAGTTGTTGTTTCAATAAAGACTAATAGACATCTTCTTTACGAAGGATTAAAAAAAACATAAGCAAAAGTTATTCCACGAGTATTAATTGTGATAGGTTTTTTACTTCTGCTAAATGTAGCAAGCGTATGTTTGGCTGTTTGGGGATTTATAAATACGAAGCAACAACCACACAAGGACAATTCACCCTTTAATCCCTTGTTGTATCTCAAATATTATAGTTTGAAGAAATATATCATTTGTTTTCTATGTTCCAAACGTGTAATGTATTTTCGGGGGAAAAACATCAATAAAGAAGGATCAATGGGGATAAGGGGCGGAAAATTCTGACTGCGTCTGAAAAGGGGGTAGTATGTTGGGTAGGAGAAGAATTTTATTTTGTAACATACTACCAATAAGTAATTTTCAAAGGATTGTTAGAGAGAGCATGACATTCTCCGAACATAGACTGTCGGCCAGGAGAAGTTCAAGTGACAATTAAGTCAATTCTTAGAATACGTAAGTTTAATTCTTTACTGCTTTGTTTTGACACAGGAACAAGTATTAAAATGTATATTATCGTTTCTCCCTGTATGCTCCACGAATTACCATTTCTTTTTACTCAATGATTTCTTTTCTGTTAGGTCGATGTCAGTTGTGTCGAGAAGTTTACATACCAGAAGCACAGAAGACGGTTACATTCTACGTAGCTTGCAAAGAACCAGGTAAAATTATGTCGATGTAACCAAAATACATTAAAGGTATCCATGCCAATAAAAGATCATCTTAAAATGAAAAGTATTCACGATGTTTGACATCACTTAAATACTTAGTATGAAAAATTCAGATTAATTATATGCATTCTACTTAAATATACTTATTATTTGCTAAGTTTACAAAAGTTGTTTTAGAAATTTAGTATTTACATCTTTGTCGTCTTGGTTTGTTTTAAGTGTTAATTAGCATGACGGGTGATGCATGTATAGCAGGAGACGCCTACCCAATCGATACACCCAGCCTCACTCCTTTTAAAAGTCATGCGACTTCCTCAGTTTTTGTTTGTTACATTGACTTGTCTGTTCCTAATCGATCTACGAGATTTAAACATCGATAAACTAATGAGGGGCCTGATGGGGGGGGGGGTGTCTCATTACGATTCACGAGTTTATTTTTTTGTAAATCACGATTCACAGAAAATAAATTTCCATGATCACGGATCACGAAAATATAAAAAAAAAATCTGTAGAAAAACGGATCACGATAGCGAAAATGCGCCGATCACGAAGAACGAAAATAACCCATCAGGCCCCTTACTAATGTTGCTTAAATTTATGCTCACGTTCTCAACGGTTACTTGATATTTAGTAACTTATCTTGACTTTTCGTACTTGTGCGTTAAATAATGTTGCCCAATGGCAATAACTTCGCATTTCTCGATGTTTTTGAAAACAGATATATAATATAAAATTAAAAAAATCGTTATTTTACTACATTTTTCAAAGAGCTTATAATATATATATATTAGTTCCCATGTATTTCAAATGAAAAATTGTAAAGACATACTTTTCTATCCAAATATTGAAATAAGATAATGGTGAATGATTGATTTGATCGCTACTTAGACGTTTGGTACAAATATGTTTTGAACAATTCGATATATCATACAAATTCAACCTAGAGAGCGACGGAAGATTCCAAAGGGATAGCCAAACTCATAAGTCGAAAACAAACTGACAATGTCATGGCAAAAAACGAAAACGACGAAATGATTGCGTTTACCCATTTAGTTTTATTGTTTTAAATCAATTTATTAATATTGATTATGCTACCAGATATTTTTTACAAAGATGTGGTAACAACAAAAAATATAAAACAGATATATATATATATATAACCATATCTCTATTCGATGAATAATTTCCCAAAAGTGTCATTTTTATGCATGATAGTTCATACAATGTAAATTATTGGCCGTTATGTACATTTTATTTATTCGAATTGATAAATCTTCCAAACTTTTCATCTTGTTTTTTTTAACTATATCTATGAAATTACAGAATCCTCTTTTGTCTGTTTAATTGATATAAACCATAATAAAAATAAGAAGATGTGGTATGAGTGTCAATGAGACAACTCTCCATCCAAGTCACAATGTGTAAAAAGTAAACAATTATATGTCAAAGTACGGCCTTCAACACGGAGCTTTGGCTCACACCGAACATCAACTATAAAGGGCCCCGAAATTACTAGTGTAAAACAATTCAAACAGGAAAACCAACGGTCTATATAAATAAGAAGATGTGGTATGAGTGCCAATGAGACAACTATCCATCCAAGTCACAATGTGTAAAAAGTAAACAATTATAGGTCAAAGTACGGCCTTCAACACGGAGCCTTGGCTCACACCGAACAGCAAGCTATAAAGGCTCCCAAAATGACTAGTGTAAAACAATTCAAACAGGAAAACCAACGGTCTAATCTATATAAAAAACGAGAAACGAGAAACACTTATGAACCACACCAACAAACGACAACCACTGAACAGCAGGCTCCTGACTTAGGACAGGTGCATATAATCTATATAAAAAACGAGAAACACTTGAGAACCACATCAACAAACACTGGACAACAGGTTCCTGACTTAGGACAGGTGCAAACAAATGCAGCGGGTTTAAACGTTTTAAGTGGCGCCAACATTCACCCTAACCTGAAATAGTAGTGTAACATTACAACATAGAAAGACACACTATAAAATATCAATTGAAATGGCTTAACTCAATCAAAAAGACATATTAACAAACAAAAAAATAAACATACTCCGAACAAATAAATTTGATATATGAAACAATATAAATACAATAATAGATAATAAAAAAAGGGGGGATGTAAAACAATGTCAAAAAGACAACTATAACCTTGGACAAAATGGCGTTAAATAAACTAACGTACATATGTAAATCTAAATATAATAATTTTGTTGTTAGGAGTACGGAAATATTTTTTTACAAAATAAATAAATTTGTTGTTCATAGTACGAGAACAGAAGTGAAAATGTATCGTCATACTAAATACTACCAAAGGTGGTACATATTTAAAATAGTGAGAAGAGATACAACACAAATTAATAAAACTCCGTTTGGAAGGCCGTACTTTGACCTATAATGGTTTACTTTTACAAATTGTGACTTGGATGGAGAGTTGTCTCATTGGCACTCATACCACATCTTCTTTTATTTATTGAATAACAAAAATGCATTACATAAACATATATTGTCATTTTACTGTAGATGAAATTTTCGGAGTAGAAGGCGTACTTGACAACGATCCAAGCATGAACTCGGTCATTACAACTAGTCCGACAATCGTGTACAGAGTTCCAAGGTAAATTAACATGCATACAAGTTTTGTAGGATCTTGCACCTTCAAAGTAAAGGCTTTGCATTGACATACAATGTAAAGCACAATCATTAAAAGTAGGCAAATTTGGTATGTTGCATGCAGTGTAATTTACTGTTATTTTTTTATATATAGCATGATGATTTGTGTTTCTTGATTATATCAAGCAATGTTTTGACTTTTCAAAAACAATTTTAAGTCTCGAAATCTACAACTTAATTTCTAAAGTACAATGAAATGTCCATACCAGTAATTTCAAAAGCTTTCTGGGAAAAGTAATAACATACTGTGTAATGAAGAATTGAAATTCACAGGAACAAATGTAAATATTACGGCAATGTAATTATATAGACATGTCTTGCTTGTGGAATTTTATTAAGAACTGCTCAAGTCATCTGTCATAATCATTAATTTGTTTTAGAATTGCATTTGATATTGTTAATAAAGAAAGTCTATCAAAGATAATTGCAAAACATAGAGACGAGGAAGTCGAGGATGTAGAGTTAATGGACAGAGGCTACTTCAATTCTGTGTGGAAAAATTACAAACATTCAAAAGTGCGAGAGGCACTGAAGGAACATGGAAAGATGAAGTATATGTGTAAAGATGCACCAAGTCATGTAGCTGAAAGACCACCATCTGCTCTGTATGTATTTACATCACTGACGATTTCAGTGAGTGTATCCTAAATAAAGTTCTCTTAAAAAAAAGTACAAATAAGATCAAAAAGGAGAGATGAACTGAGAAAAAAAACAAAGATACAGATACACGAACAACATAACTTTCCAAATAAAAAAAACAAAAAAATTAGCAGAGAACCATTTGATGCCTTTTCTCATGATTGTGAATCCGATGTTTGAATAACAGATTTTTGTAAAAAAAATAGTAATGACACCAGTTACTTCGACAAGCGATGACAATAATGTTACATACGGGAAACTAAAGTCAATACCGTAAAATAGTAGGCTGCGTTTATCGACAAGCATATAAGCAACAGGAACAGTAAAGATTGGCATGAAAAATAACAAATATCGATTGAAATAGATTAACCAAACTCAATGTTGTTGTTTTTCTGCTTTGTATCAATCTGATGAGTTAAGCCTTTTTCAACTGATTTTATAGTCTGTTCTTAAGTTGTGCTGTTACACCAATGTTCCAGGTTAGTGGGAGGGTTGAGCACTCACAAACATGTTTAACCCCCGCCACATTCTTTATATGCCTGTCCCAAGTCAGGAGCCTGCAGTTCAGTGGTTGTCGTTGGTTCGTGTCTGTCATATTTGTTTTTCGTTAATTGTTTTGTTATAAATTAGGCCGTTAGTTTTCTCATTTGAATTGTTTCACATTTTTTCAAGTCGGGGCCTTTTATAGCCGACTATACGGTATGGGTTTTTCTCATTGTTGAAGGCCGTTTAGTTGCCTATAATTGCTTACATACACTTTATTTGAACTTTGTTGTATAGTTTTGTCTCATTGTCAATCATACCTCATCTCCTTATTTGTATATCAAACACGATTTACGTTATAGAATTTAAAACATGAAAACAAAATATGCTTTAAAAAAAATTAAACAAATCCGTTAAAAGATATGATTGACATAAGTACTTACTCACCTCTGTATCTGCGACTTCCTTGAAACCCCATCATTATATCTCCTATCTATTTTCCTCAGCAATGCAAGTGCCCTTAGCATTTCACAAATATGTGATTTCAAAGGAAAACTGATATCAAGTTATCTTCGATTGTTGTTACTTTCCCCTCTTCGTTCTTGCAGTTGCCATCATCATCCATTGTTTTTTTTATTATTATTTTTAGTTCCTATACACTAATGCCTTTTTCACTAATTTTATTATAAATGGATATATATCTTATTATAATGCATGTTTACATATATTATCACGGGTATGATAGTAGAAGGATTTGAATATTACTTTAATACGACCATTTTACCGTTTTGGGTTTCGGCTATCATGGGATGTAACTATAATCAGTTTGATATCAGTGGCATTCTTGAAGATATATTCAAAGGCATAGAATGGAAATTTAAACAACATCAGGAACCTTAAATTTATATCTATATCTAATGATGAAACATATTTTTACAAGTATTTACAACAAATAGTTGACAATACTTGTGGTTTTAAAATTATCGTACACAAAATGTTGTAGAATTACTTTTATATGTTTTAAATGGTTTTCTCTATTTATGAAATGAAATAACAATTGTTAAGCAGCTTGATTTGCATTATTTACTAGATACATGCATCTTTATTTCTGTTAACAGGGAACAACACAAAGAAAATATGTACAGATTTATTCAGAAAGGAGCAGAATTTGAACCATACAGGGTTCGGTCAGCAGTGCAGCGACCAAGGTCTGGTCATAAACTACCCAATCGTCCACAGACTGTGGCCAACATTGATGTCACGGACAATGGTGTAGATGGTGAGTATCAAAAATAAACTATTTTGAATCAAATCTTTAAAGCAGAAACAGAAGATACCAAAAAGGAGAATCAAACTCAAAAGTCGAATAAAGGCAACAGTAGTATACCGCTGTTCGACATTCATAAATTGATTGAGAAAAAAGCAAATCCGGGTTACAAACTAAAACTGAGGGAAACACATCAAATATAAGAGGAGAACTACGACACAACAGAAACACAACTTTTAAAATGTAAAACACACAGAAACGAACTACAATATAACAATGGCCATTTTCCTGACTTGGTACAGGACTCGAAGAGAGACTGTCAAAATCATGACACAAAACGAGTCCAAATCAATTGAAAAACCTTGATACTTAAAAGTATGATTGCTTAATTATTGTGTTTATCAAATTTTATTCCATTTTTAATTCGCTTGCAATGAACTGTTATTAATATATTATATTATTTGCACGTTGGATTTGTCTCTCTTAACATATGTTATAATTGGACAAGAGTTGCACTGATGTTTAATGTGGCAGATAAAACACTATCATATATATTGATGGCTTGCAGTCGGTTCAATTTAATTAAATATTGTATTTTTCATTCTTATAGAGGAAGAATCTGATAGTTCTGATGAGGAAACAGAACAGAGTCAGCTAATTACAAAAGATCTGGCCAAAACATTGGACAGTTTTTATGCTAAGGTAAAAAAAATTTGTCAGACGATCTATTGTAACAGTAGTTGAATTGCTTGTACACTGTTTGTTTAATCTTTTAGATGTATGTTCAGTTAGAAATTGCTAATTATTAGTTTGTAAGTTTTGTTAGTGCAAGGGAGGTTCGACATTGTAGATATGTCTATATTACATAGACTTAAATTTGTATTCAAATGCATTAGATTTAAATGGCATTGCTTTAGCTAACCTTAGCAAATTGTAGGAACAGTAACTAAAGATGCATCTTGTATGATGTTGAAACAGGTTTTATTGTTTGAAGTTTTCAGCATTAAGAGATGTCCTTGTTAATATGTACAATGTAATTAAACTATGATATAAAATAAAAGATCAAAGAAAATGTTCATAATAGGAATATACTTGACAGGAAGACAAACCCAACTAGAAATATAAACACACATATATCTAGGGGTCATCAAACAGTCTTCAACAACAGTTTGGTGCATGTACACTATGGCAAGCTCTGAATCGTCAATAAAAATAGTAAATAGATTAAATAGAAACAATCAAAGATCTGCCATCACTACCAGATTTAAATTCTCTTAATAACAAAATCATAATGCTTGATTTTTAGAAATATATTAACATCCGTTCTTTCAACTTCAACTGTTTCGTTTTAAAGTAATAAAATTATGTATAATTTTGCTAACAATAGCTCTTTTCATCTTACTCAGAGGTATCAATTTTAATTATTATGTTTCGTATTATGTTAGTAAATAATGTACTTTTTCTCTAAACACTGTATCATTCTACTTAATGGCATTAACTTGGGTGAAATTTCTGTAACACTTAATATTTTGATATGGACGAAATTTAATCTTCATATGCAACTATGCAGCTAATCTGACTTGACTTTTGTTTGGCATAAAAATCACATGCAATATTTTACTAAAATTATTTTTAACTTTAATGTACAACTCAATAGTTAGCAATTTTAAAATGTAATTGTAAAACACGATGAATGAATTTGTAAAAGTTACATAGTTTTTTTTTATTTAAAAAGATCAAACGATTATGAATTATTTGAATGTATTCAGACGTTTCAAAGCACAATGATGCAATAGTGAAACAAGAATATGCCAATCAAAACTCTTGATGGAATATATTTCATTTGATATCTATATGTGCTCTGAATTTCATTGTCTCCGTTTAACACAGGGAAAACAAAATAGAAGATTGTCTATATATAAAAAGGTAGATATGTGTGTGCTTTTGCAATGTTGCTCCTTAGATAATTTATATTCATATACATAGATGTATATATGGTGATGCTTTACTAACAAATTGCTCAAAACTAACCATTAAATTCCAACACTGGTGTTTTATAACAAATACCCATTAAACTACATGACATTCTCATGAATAAATTCCTTATACCTACCCCTTTACAAAATATTATGCAAAACAATCTCGAACTTTTCCTTCACCTTCTGTTTAAGTAGTACCAGAAAGAAATAGATATGTTATGTCATTTTGTATTTTCAATTTGTTCTTTGTTTTCTTACTGTTCTTATTAGTTTTATTTTCCAATGACAATCCAAATTTACCGCCCTTCATTTCGATTGACCCACTCTGCAGATGTATCGTTAATTTGTACCCCTCCTGAATATGCATGTAATATTTCTCAGTGGACGTTAACAAAAACAATTATTTAATTAATGTTATCAGTTGCTTGAAGAAACTATATACGGAACTTAAAGTATCGACATACGTGTATGTTTGCTAAGCATTGCATTCACATAATATGTCATTTATATATCGTTATATTGGTGGTAAAAAGTATTAACACAGATACCGAAGTGAAGTCCATAAAACCTGACAAAACTAAACATCGACTATATCAACCAATAGAACAAATGAAAACACTTCGCACAGGCATTTTCTGATGACAAATGCTGAGTTTTACCTGGTTTAATTGCTAGCTAAACCCCTTTCTCTTATATGACAGTTTATAGATCTCTTATTTTGAGTTTCTTTTTATGAACAACCGAAACAGACATAATTGGTTAACGTGACAATATTGGGAACCAGCTGGCAAAATTGTGTAAAATAAATCATAGATGACTAACGAGAACAGATCATTTGAAATTATGCATACATGAAACTAAGGCATCAGTATTTGCCTCAACTTGATATAAAGTGACGATCAAACCAATATATATGTATTATCAAAATTTTGTACAATGCTTACTCAAATGAATATATGTAGGTTGCCTGCATAAAAAAATATACATTAATTCAGTTACTTTTGCTTCATGACATCTTATATATCATTGTATACAATATTTACCACAAACGATTGAATAATCTTAAAGTTCACTAATCATATTATAATCAGATATTGTTTATTTGGAAACTAAAAGCAAAATATAAAATTATAAATGTGCATGGATTTCTTTCTTACATACTGAGTATATTCAATCTTAGCTAAGCTAATCATTCTTAGCTTTGATTTTAACAGTCGTACATTAGTTGTCCACATTAAAGTCATACAGCATGTTTGCGATAAAAGGCTTTGGATATATTCATATTGCTATATATTGGATACATAACTAGTTTTGTGATTTTGTACAGCACATTCTGTACAATTTTTAGGATTTTCTTATCCCAGGTAGATAACCTTAGCCATATTTGGCACAACATTTTGGAATTTTGGGTCATCAGTGCTCTACATCTTTGTTTGGCTTTCTTTGCTATTTTGACCTGAGCGTCACTGGTGAGTCTTGTGTAGATGAAACACGCGTCTGGCGTATTAAATTATAAGCCTGGTACCTTAAATAACTATTAGCTTGTCGTAATGTTCTATCGTATTGTTAATTTGTGTGTTTCTCTGTTCTGTATGTTCTTCCATTTATTTGTACTGTAGTCCTGTCATGTAATGTTGCCATTTTAGTGTTATATTTAACATTGCCATTAAAGCGGGAGGTTTGGCTAGCCAAAACCAGGTTCAACCCACCATTTATTCTTAAAATGTCCTGTACCAAGTCAGGAAAAAGGCTATTGTTATCTTATAGTTCGTTTCTGTGTGTGTTGCATTTTAGTGTTTCTGTTGTGTCGTTTTTCTCCACTTATAGTTGATGTGTTTCCCTTAGTTTTAGTTTGTAACCCGGATTTGTTTTTTCGCAATCGATTTATGAATTTCGAACAGCGGTATACTACTGTTGCCTTTATTTAGCTCCTACGAAAAAGAGACCGAAAGAAAAGTAAAAATGATTCGTATTTATTAGTTAGCTTTTTTCTAGTACATTCATTTTGACATACTATACTACTGTTGCCTTTATTAAGCTCCTATGAAAAAGAGACAGAAAGAAAAGTAAAAATGATTCGTATTTATTAGTTAGTTTTTTTCTAGTACATTCATTTTGACATACTAGTATAGATCTGGCGAATTTTGTAATTTAATAGAAACTGAGTTTCAAACTTCGTCAGGACAACTTATCTTTAGATATATTTAGGTTATCCTTTATAACGTGTTATGGTTACACAGTCGCAATTTACTTTGTCTCTAACGGAAATTTATCAGGGTAAAATTGCATGTCCCGTAGAGTATACATTGTGCAAATTTCTGACATTGAAAAAGGTAAAATCATTAAAAATGCTTTCATCACCATTTTTGTATACTTTTACGTTAGCTTCAAGGAAACGAGGAAGATATGTTGAAAGCTTTGGACGAAAATAGTGAACTTGGAAAACATCTACGAAAAGCATGGGAAACCCCTGGAGCAGACCAAAAAGACAAGGATGGTTTCATGGTATGGTAATGCTTTAAGTAGCTTTATTAACATTGTCAGTATAGTGTGAAAATGTAGAAAAATGCCAAAAACAATTATTGTGGTCATGGAAATAAACAAGAAAGTCAAATTATTCATATTTGTTCAAGACTTGTAACAAATTGGATTCATAATATACAGAGAGAACAATAACCCATACTTTCACACACAACAGATATATTGATAGTCCTTGTAAATAAATATAAGACTTTGTCTACATCTGAACATCCACCAAATGAAGTAAAATATTTAGATTTAAAAGATCTAAAATTCGTTTGGAAGTTCCAATGTCAGCAATCAAATGTTAGTCGTGCTTTAAGACAGTTTAAGATTCCAAAGAGGGAAAAAGTCAGGAATAATATAAAGACGAGTGCCTTTCTTCTGATATATTTGAATACGACTTATATTTGATTGCTGACATGAATGCTTAACACATACGTTTAAGAAATTTATGTAGACCATATGTTGACCTCTATAATACTTTTGGTTTATTGTGTCGTAAAATCATATATAATGTCTCCTTTTAGTAATATTTAATAATAATTTAATTTTGGATGTAACGCGTCTTCTGATTGGCTGACGTTGTTTTGTTTATCAGCTCATAGACCTAATTTTGTCATGTGACCGTGACGTCATCAACGTTTTTTCATGGTTTACTCCGGTTTAAAATGGAGTTTAGAATTAAATTATAAGAAATGACTGTAATATTTTTTCTGTCTATTCGAAATAACATAAAAAATGTGGTGCACACTTTAAAATAACCCGCTATGCGGGTTATTCAGTGTGCACCACATTTTTGATGTTATTTCTTCATAGACAGAAAAAATATTACAGTCATTCCTTAAATGAAATAAAAATAGAAAGTAACATATGTATTCTTTCATCCTCTTTTAACAGGAAAATGGAGTTTTGGCCACAATGGAGTCGGATGATATTGTAAGAAAGGCAATTGCCATGGCAGATAAGAAAGCCACAAGACAAAAGAAACGTTCTTCTATTGAGGAGGAAGAGTTAGTATACTTTAAATTTTGTATTCTTACTATAAATTGTATACTTGAGAAACGGGAAAATAGATATACTTTTTTGGGGGGACCAAGACGTTTTGATAGGCATTATTTTTGTAAAATGATATTTTCGAATCTATTTGAATGCAGTGAAAAAATTGAAAAATTCGTATCCAGCAAACCTACTATTGAAGATAAAGAGTAAGGATACTTCATTATTTGTTTACTCTTAATATCAACTGTTATACTTGTAATACTTGCAAAATAAAAAACTAAATGTAATTTCTAAGTAGGTATATTTTTGTCAATTTTTTCGGGGACAATTTATTTGATTGACATAGTTTTTTAAAAATAAGATATTGAATCTATTTTACTTCAGTTAAAAAGAAGAAATTTTATATGCATTTACCTTTTTAAGTAGAGTGACAACATTGAGAAAATTCGTTTGTAAGTAAACGAACAACGTCTCAATGCATCCATTGTTTTCATGAACGAATCTGTCTTTACTGCTTGATTATTCCCCGAAGTTCGACTCTCTAATTTGTTTTGTTTTGGCTTGAGATTGCAAACATATATTGGGATTTACCACAATTGAAAAGAAGATATCCGTAAAATACGTTTCCTATGATGCTTAAAATTTATATTACTATTAAACTGCAATGCCACTGCTTAATTTAAACTTGTATTTTTTTTAGATATTACATTGGAATTTAATATCTTTGTTAATTCGAATTCTTCACAACTATCTGTATTTTCCGTTTCAAAATTATTTGCTATGTAATTCTTTAAACGTGGTTCAGCAGTTAATGCAAAAGTCCAAGTTCAACACGGTTTTAAAAAATGACTTATTTCTAACGACTTAATAGTGAAGGATTGAACTTGAATACGGCAGTGACAGCGTCAACGCTCTTTGATTAAAAAAAGTTGAGGTGTAAAGTTAGTCGTCGAATGCAAATCGGCAGTATGACAAATGAGACTGAGTAAACTTAATTTTGTTTTAAATACTAAGTATTTTCTGCCCTAGGAATAAATAACTCTAGCTTTTTTATGGCAAAATCTTTCAGAATTTTAGGTTCTCAATGCTCTTCAATTTCGTACTTTATTTTGCCTTTTTATTATTCTGATTCGAGCGTCACTGATGAGTCTTTTTTAGACGAAACGCATGTCCGGCGTACATAATTTTAATTCTTGTATCTATGATAAATTTATAAGCATAGAAATTTATCCTTTTTCAAATCTAATAACATTCGTTTCTCTACAGTGTTCTGAAAGAGTAAGTATATAATAAAAGTCACCTTTGTATGATGTGAATTCGCTGTTTGACGTTAACATTCCCTTTTAACATAATACCAATACCATTCAAAGTGCACCAAATTTTACAAAATCACTGAAAAACTTCGGGATTTTTCAATATCACTTATCATTTCATGGATTTTACACAAAATCTTTGATTTTACCCATTCACTTGTCACACATATCACATCTGTTCCTCCTACTGATAAAAGAGATCAATATGTAATTTTTTTACACATGAAAATATATCTACTTTGTTTGGTAAATTTCTTTTATATATCAATATGTTTTATTTTTTTCAAATGCACCAGTTTAATGTAAAGGACAGGCAGTGTATATTGTAGTTAATATATTCATAGACGAAAGGCAAATTCTTTTCTGCTTTGCATTGCCTCGATAAATGATGCTACTATGTTTGATGCGGATTGTAAATAGCTTTCCAATGTTAATGTAGAGCAAAGGCATCAGCACAATAAAGTCTCCTCTGTGTAGTGTCAACTTTTGCATACCACAAGTTAACAGTGCGTCCGTCTGTTCGTCCGTATGTCTATTGTCAGATTAATATTTTTAGTTAAAGTAGTTTACCATGAAGTTGTGGTTACATCAACATTATATAAATGGTAATTGTAATATGAAAATCACGTGTTTCGGTACTTAAACACTTATAAAATATTTGGTTTTGAGCATTCTTAATGAATATAGATCTGCAAAAGCGTTTCGGACGCATAACATTTATAAGTGTTCTTTATTCCATTTAATTTTGCAGTTATCAGTGTGTTCGTCATCTGCAGATAACTGAAAAAATTCTCAAGAGAATTTTAAGAAATATAAAGACACAGTTGTAAAATGTTTATCTGTTTGCCACTAGCATATAATGCAATTTGTATGGGCGACTAGAATTGTCAAGTTAAAGTTATCTTCATTTTGCCGGAACAAATAACCTCAATGAATTACGTTCTGTTTGAATTACACACTTTTATGAGCAATATCGAAACTGAATGTCTCTCACAGTTGGTATCAAAATAATAAATCATTCAGTTTAATATAGAATTGAATCATAAAAGACTTGGTAACCATTTTCTTACTCCCTGTTGTTAACCACTTTGCCACCGTGAACGATAGCGATTTTGCCTACCCCTCGAATTCAAAGAAAGCTTATTATTTTATCAGAAATTCTTCACCCTTAACAATGTAATATTAAATGTATTGTGGCAAAGACGTTTATTCGTCGACAGCTTTGTACCATATAGATATTCTATATATAATCTTTCATATTTTACAGCATGATGTAAAAGTTTAATATGATATATGTTTAAACGGTTGTTCATTTTTTTATAAATTAGATGGAATACAGTATTACATGCAGAAAACAAAAATGCAAAGTTTATGGCGGCAGCAAATAATATGCGCGTGAAAATGCTCCGTAAAAAGATGGAAGATCTACAGAAACGGAGAGTTATCATGTTTGAAAAACCCATAAAATCTCCAAAGGATGTTGTAGTCATAGAAGCAGATCATAACAATAATTTGAGGAAGAAACGATTCATGTTGGACAAGCTATCTGATATGGGAACAAGATCAAAAGAAGAGAAAGCCGCAGGGGTAAATAATTGCATCTTAATTAACAATAATTGAAATTATGTGTGTTTTACAAAGTATTTAATGTACACGTATAATATAGGGTTAAAGACAGCAATACAAAGTAATGTATTCTTGTTAAACAGGTATTGTATTTGAACAGAACATAAAAATAAAGATATACAATTGTCGTATAAAAATTATGAAAATGCTATATGAAATTTAAAGGCTATATGCCGGTTAAGGTCACTTTTGGTCATATACCTCATTAAGTATTTATACATCCCTTGCCTTAAAATGTTTGGATATGACCTTTCATTATGAAGGTCAATACAAAAAAGTGCTTCGGACGCACCAAATTAATAAACTGTTCTTTTCATTTAACAAAATCATAGAGTATAAAAGGATATTTGCAAAAAGTCATCGAAACATTAACAAATTGTAAATTGTAACTTTTCCAGACTGCTGTTGCTATGAAAGGAACAATGTTCATAACAAAAACTAAACGAAAGGTCTGTCAATCAAGAACCCAGGACGATAGTGATGTCTTAAGTCAGGAAAGAAAAGATGAAGATGAAGAATTTCTCGAAAAGGTTTGATGTTACAATAATTCAATAATGATTTGCATACCTAGTAATACTTGAAAAAATTTAACCAGTCTGTTGACATCTGTTCCACAACCGGGAAATGTTGCTCTGGTTACTGCTAAGAATTCTTGCAACTTCATTTAGGGACTCTCAGTCGTGTAGATATCCGATAACGATATCGAGTGGCAGAGTCAAACTTTGACATGGCAGCATTTTTATTTTATGACTAAAGTCGGACTTTAAACTTGGTTCTTTATACGCTTTAATTACCATTGAATTAACGGGCATTTAAAAGTTGAGACTTGTCTTTAACAGCCAAAGATTAAATTAACCATTTAAATTAACCTGGTTAATTGCAGAATTTGAATTTTGAAAAATAAAAGGTGTTTATGAGCTTCTTTTTAAAAAACAATATAGTTTACTCTCAGTAAAACTTGATGGTGCTGGTAGATAAGGAAGTGTTGAAACTTTTTTACCGGCAATACAAAACAGTTACTAGGTCCTCATCTTTTATTGGCTAATAATTACATTACATTACATTAGAATCTGTACTTTTGGTTGGCTGAAAGCAAGTGTGAGGCATCCAAAAATCAAATAGTATTTCTCAATAAATTTCAAAATTCATGAATGCACATGCTCCCAATGACAACATCACTCCAATTCATTGGAAAACAAACGAAAATCTTGATTTAACTCGTTATTTCAACTTTTAGCATATGTAATTATAAGAAATGAATGGTTCTTGTTGAAATTTTATAGGGTTGTAAAATGCGCTTCCGTCAACGCTTTTCCACCTCACTAAAATTACAAAAAGAAGCATTCAATTCGTAAGAACAATTTGTTAATAACATAGTTTCAAAGTTTAGAATTTGAATATTACTGAGACACTTTTTCTTAAAATAATTAATGTTTCAATACCAGTCTGTTTGTTTTTTTTTATCAAATATTCAAAACTTTTTATTTGTACTGCCTTTAATTTTGATACAAAATTGATGTTCACAAAATCATTATCATTATTTTTATATTGATATTTACAGCATTTATCCAGACTTAGACCTAGTAGTGCCATTGTTACCAAAGAAGAACAAACAACCTTTAAAACTACTCATAAGAAAGGTAAGGAGGATATGGTGACAGCGATTCAGTTACAAAATTCAGTGCTGACAGTTGGTGTTTTGCAATTTTTGACATGTATTTCACTATATAAATGTTGGTTTTTTTATGTAGGGAGAACAAAATTTATAAAAAAAACAACATAGATGTTCCTCTCGCTAGATCAAACCTGGTCTTTTTTCATAGCTATTGGACTGAAATACAAATTTAACGTGCGTGACATGATATAACCGACACACCAAACTAAATTAATTTACATAATAACATTACATGTACGTTTCATAAGAATCTGTTCTGACAACATTCGATAGCCATTCCAAAGTAATATTTTATTTTCCAAAACAGTTTACATTCATAACAGCACATGCTTCCCACAATAACGTCACAACAAGCATACTAAAAACACAAAATGGATGTTGCATAAAAAGACAGGAATCACAAGTTTAAAATAAAACAGACACGCCATGCTAAAACAAACAGATAAAACGAAGACCAAACTCCACCAAACATTACACAGAAAATGAAACGGTGAGTAAATAAGCCATTAAAGAAACTGATTGTGAGTTGTAAGTTTTGTAAGTTTCTAGGTACTATACCAAAGTCCATTCAGAAACCAATATCGAAATAGAAATAGACATGTTGTGAGTAAACAAACAATCTGGTTTTATTTAAACAAATGTCAACTGAATAGTTTCATATCTTTTGCAGGGCCATCAAGAAGAACTTTAGGTCTATCAACCAGTTCAATTAGTTCATGGACAAGTTCATCATCAGGTTACAAAAGTTCACAAACATCACTCCGCTCATCCTGACAACTGACTCATCTAATTTCTACCATTAGTGCCAATAACTGTTTTATTTTAAAATGTAAAATGAAATCGTCTAATAAATAAATACGCACATCGTTAAGTACTTCTTACTCGGCAAAGGTCATTATACGGCTTTTACCAGTTACATATAACTATTTCTTTCAATCGGTTTTACACGGACTGATATTGGTCCTCATATTTTATAGCAATATGCAGATTATTTATAAAATAATACTATGACAGTGTTGATATTAGAATGGAACGGGATATACTATCTTTTTGAACGCCCTGTCTTAGCGGGGAATATGCATAGACATACTTCTAGAAAATCAAGCTAGGTAATGCAAAAACATTTGCATTTGATATAAAAAAAAACATATGAAACCTAGACTTCAACTCCCTCCCGAAAAGATATATTTAGATAAATTTGGCTATTCTATTTAGGTCCTTTTGTGGACGTCTGGCGTCTGGCGTATCAAATTATAAGCCTGGTACCTTTGATAACTATTTACATCACTGGGTCGATGCCACTGCTGGTGGACGTTTCGTCCCCGACGGTATCACCAGCCCAGTAGTCAGTACTTCGATGTTGACATGAATATCAATTATATGGTCATTTTCATAATTTAACTGTTTGCAAAAGTATGTACTATTCGAAATACTAAGATTTTCTTATCCCAGGCATAGATTACCTTAGCCGTATTTGGCACAACTTTTTGGAATTTTGGGTCCTCAATGCTCTTCAACTTTATTCTTGTTTGGCTTTCTAACTATTTTGATCTGAGCGTCACTGATGAGTTTTATGTAAACGAAACGCGCGTCTGGCGTATCAAATTATAAGCCTGGTACCTTTGATAACTAATATGTCTACATTTTTATACATCTTTGGCATTCAAATGTTAAAGTTGTAGTGTCCATTATGAAGTTGAATAAAAAAAAGAGTTGACTGCATGATCATGAGAAATTTATAAAGTGCCATTTTCATTTACATCTTACAATTTTAAATATACAATTAAAACATTTTGTAATATACGTATTAACAAATATAATGTTATTAATATGATGATTAATGTAAGAATCCATCCTTGTACGGTTGTAAATCCGAGAACATTCATTCGCTGTTCTTTTTGGTTTTTTACACGCTGTTGGACGTAATAAATGTTTTGGTTTTGTATAATTTACATTTGGTATCAGCAAATATAATGAATGTTATTCAAGACACAGTTGTTATGCCCTTGGAAATCATATACTTTCATTTGTTAAAGTTTCTTAAAGTGAAATAATCTTAAGTACAAATAAAATATGGAAATATTGTTGAGAAGATTGTCTTTGTTAAACCTTATTATTGTAAGCCGTACTTTATGCCTCTTTCTAACTTACCGTCTGATTCAAGTTACACTCCAATTCCATTACCGTCTGATACCGGTTTTCCATATTCCAATAACAAACGCATTGGATTTATTGTTCATTTTTCTTGTCTTAAATCTACATGAAATATTTGTCACTGGGAGTTAAGAAAGCAATCAATCAATCAATCAGTTGTATTTAGTGAACTAAATAATTTAAGTCTTCGATAAATGATTGTCTCATTGTTATCAAACAACATTTCATATTTCTAGATATCTGATCTTTTTAAAAGTATGGGTTTAATCACTTTTTGGTTGAAAAACTTATATAATTGGGTCCTACATATTGAAAATGCAAACAAAAGAGTAGTTCTGATAAATTAGAATAAAATATAACGGAAAAGGTTTCTGATGGTCAGTTAGCACTCAGCTCAATAAAGCAGCGGCTTTGATTCATTTCAATTTCCTATTAGATTTTCAGTGATTGGAATTTAGAAAATTCTAAAATAATTTGTGGAAGGGTTAAAAAGCGTCCATCAACAAAATAGTAGACTGATTATTAGACTGTGTGAAGCCCTTTTACAATTTCCATTTCATTAAAAAACAAATTTGTCTTTATGATTTATTTGCCGATTATCGTTAATGTGTACATTTTCCCTCTGATTTGTCAAGATCTGAATATATCGCGATATCCATCTTTTTACTACCTGAGTAAATATTTAATAGGAAGTAGTGGCGATTTGTCTGATCATGCTAAATATCCTGCTCTCGAGTTCGTAAGTAATCTCATAAATATACCCCCCGCCCCTCACTGATCTTTGCCCACATTTGGTCAATTTAAAAAAATGTTTTACGTGCTTCTTAAAACTGTCAAAGAAAATATTTCAAACAACTGGCTTGTCAAATTAAAGCTGTGTGTTCGAACCCCACACATGCCCTTTCTTTGTATTATTCATTTTTTTGGGGAATACAGTGTTTAACTTATGACTTTTGTATGTACCGATTGTTAGTTCTCTTATCTCGTCAGAAGTTACATTGTATTTGAACCTTTTTAATGTTTTTTGTTACATCTCTTTTGAGATTTTCATATATTGACAGATTTTTTATGGGTTCAGTTTTTTTTCATAATTTTTTAAGGGTCGAGAGGATTTGGGGCTTGTGGTATTGTTTGGAGACTTTATATTGTTTTCTGTAGATGTCTTTTTGCTATTGTTTCTTTCGTTTGATTCCGATTGTATTTAAGTATACAATGCAGCTCATTTTACCTCATTTGTTTATATAATAAATCCTAAGAAGAATAATTGTTTCTTTTAAACTCACATTACTGGGGTTTTTTTTTCTCGCGCGGTCTTTCAAACCACTAAGATAAAATACTTAATAATTGTACGGTTTAGCATATCTTAAGAATTAAGATAGTATTTTTTTCTGAGAAGTAAGTACATTTGAAAAAAAAAATATCAATTGAAATATGCACTGTTAGAAAACAATAAACCTGGTAGTGAATTTAAAAGCTCGGATAGTTCCTGATTCATGATTTGCACCTATCGCGTAGCTCGTAAAAAATAACAAATGCGGTAAGCTGTCGCTCTGGGCGATGCCATTTATTAAGTAGAGAGAGTTGGAAGAACAACACGTGGGAATATCTGCAGTCATCTGAATCCATTGAAGAGAAATCTAAGCAGTTCTGTTAGTAGTATATATAGCGTGGAATGTTATAGATAGCATTCGACATATCACTGTTCATATCTTAAAACCGTTATTTTGAATAAGTGTATTTGAAATCTTCCCTGAAAAAGTATGCAGTTTGAAGTTTCTATCTTTTGTTGATTTTCAATGGAATACCGTTCTTTGCACGAATTATTTGTCCGGGATCTAGTTCAATGGGGATCTGAAAGAAATAACAAGAATGCTAGAATAAGTTTTTGTTGTAATTTCGAACTTTCAAAGATTGTTTTTTTTCTAGTAGCCTTTGAAAAGATTAATTCCAGCCATGCATAATGGAGAAACAAATCTAACTTATTATCACTATTTCATATGTTCTTATAAAAATAAGAAGATGTGGTATAATTGTGGTATATTATGCCTATCACGGTAGGTATAGTGTCCGGCTAGGATCGTGGTTTTTCGAGTGAATCTGTCCATTTTTTTCGAGTGTAGATCGGGCTTTTTCGAGTGATAAAACATGCGATCAGGTCAATTAACTACTAATTCGTAATTATAATAGTTTTGTACGTGACTGCCCGTCTTATTTTGAATACTATACATGTTTTGAGTAACAAAGAAGCACAATTTCCTTGTATTTAACCATTAAACTCAGTGTTTGTTATTGTCCGGGCTTTTTCGAGAGGAACTGTGAAACCGTCCGGGTTTTTAAACAAATGGTCCGGGTTTTTTAACGAAAATTTTATTAAGAAAAAAGTTATTTCTGACTTTAAAAAATGACTTTTCTAGTATATAAATGTAATTTAATGAATGAAATTATCATATATTCTCAATAAATCACCAAAACATATTACTACGTTGATCAAAATTAACCTTTTTCAATTTAATGCAAGTTTTCTGTTCGGAAAACGTTCTACCACAACTTTCAAGTATTAAATTAGAAATTATTGGACCATTTATAAAAAGGTCTTAAGAACATAGTGCAGGAGACTCATAATCTTTTCAACTTCATTTTATGGTATTTTTGTTGTCACAGTTAATAATATTTTTCGTGGTGAACCCCGGAGTTTTTATACTGTACGTATTATGGTATACCGTTGTCCGTCCGTCGTCAGCATGTCGGACAAAACTCAAAAACGCTGTAACCAATTAATATGAAACTTCGTTGATATTTTTTTATCTATTGAGGTATCCTCCCTTTCGAATTTTATAAATTTTAGATTTTACGTTTTCGAGTTAAAGGATTTTATTAAACAAACTAGAGGCTCTAAAGAGCCTGTGTCGCTCACCTTGGTCTATGTTCTGCAGTGCATATTGAACAATGGACACTCTTCTACATTAAAGACAAGAATATAATTCATGACAAAATTCTCTGTTTTGGTGATGGTGACTTGTTTGTAGATCTTACTTTACTGAACTTTCTTGCTGTTTACATTTATCTCTATCTATAATGAACTTGTTCCATAAGTACCAGAGGAGAAGATTTCTGTAAAAAAATGTTTGCGTTGCACATGATCCGCTATCCTTAACATTAAAATACAGTTATTAAGCTGCTCAGATTGTGATCTGTTCAACAGCAATTAAAACTCTAGACGTATATATCTGAGCATCACGTGACGACACAATGTAAAAATTAACGGACGACGACGGACAACGACGGACGCCAAGTGATGAGAAAAGTTCACTTGACCCTTTAGGGCCAGGTGAGCTAAAATGGGGTGATTTTACAGTTTTCAGACATATTTTAAAGTGCTTTGAGGAGTTTTCATGAAACTGTGGTGACTGCTTTATATAGATTAAGGTTACCTCTTTTTTGTTTTTGTGTTTTTCTATAAATTTTTGATATGACATTGAGAAATTATTTATAGGTTTCATAACGAGTGATAATGGATATCGCTTGATATCAACTCGAATTATTTAATTTCAATATAATATCAAACGATGCTCCGGTTTATTATTACTATTTGAATTAAATAACGAGAGGAAATTACTAACTTACTTACTCACTTGAATTAAATAACGAGAGTTGATATCAAGCGATACCCCATTCTCACAAGTTGTTAACCCTATTTGTCTTATGGTCAACACTCTCATTGTGTCAAATTAAAAATTCCGCAAATCGATGGTATAGTATTTTGCACATGAAATGTACATCGTCATAAAGTTTGATGGTCATCAATAACCTAACGAATAGCCAATGGAAATGCCGTAATATCGTCTTATGATGCTGGATAAGCAAATCAAATCAACGCAAATCCGTGCAGTGTGATATGAGAAATGTCTATTCATGCAAGAAATATATAATAAGCCACAACCATAAGAGAATGAACTTTATTCTTTGAAAACGCGACGGGCGTATCATGCGCCCATGGCGCAGCTGTTTATTAAAAAACGGAGTAAGAAACCTACTGGACAGCAGAGAAGAATCAATAAAATGCATTTGTTTTTGTTAGATGTATTTCTATTTGTATCCATCTGATGAGTTAAGCCTTTTTCAACTGATTTTTTATAGTTCGTTCTTATGTTGTACTGTTACACCACTGTCCCAGGTTAGGGGAAGGGTTGGGATCCCGCTAACATGTTTAACCCCACCACATTCTGTATGTATGTGCCTGTCAGGAGCCTGTTATTAAGTGGTTGTCGTTTGTTGATGTGTACATATTTGTTTTTCGTTTATTTGTTTTACATAAATAAGTCCGTTAGTTTTCTCGTTTGAATTGTTTTACATTTGTCATTTCGAGGCCTTTTATAGCTGACTATGCGGTATGTGCTTTGCTCATTGTTGAAGGTCGTACGGTGAGCTATAGTTGTTAATTTTTGTGTCATTTGGTCTCTTGTGGAGAGTTGTCTCATTATCTTCTTTTTTTATATGTAATAAAAAATATTCTACTAAAAGACACTTAATCCGACCAGTTTTTATTCCCATTGACAATAACATCTGAATTAAATTTCATATATAGTTAATGAAGTGAATAATTCACCAGCTTAATTCACTCTTTGTACGTACGTCTCAATCCCAATTGTATATGCTTACATTAGATTGTTGACATCATGAATATATACTGTACATGTAATTTATTAGATGTGACAAACAACAATATATACAGATGGCTGATACTTGTTTATAAAGTCTAAGTGTTAGTACACCTTTATTAAACTGATGAATGCATTGGTTTCGTGCCTTAAAAAGTACATAGTTTGAACCCTTTTTTTTATTGTTTTTAAACGTAAATACACTGACACACAACATTCTAAGCTATAGGAAATTTGTATAATCACTCGATAAAACACGGACGCACTCGAAAAAGCCCGCACTGCTCTTGAAAAAACCCGAACACATAGAAATGAATTTAGTCTCAAAATATCGTTTTTAAATGCAACAACAAGAATTTTTGTAAAGTGTCTGTATATCTAAGGATATATGGATTTCATGTATGCATTTCCATCGACGTTTGCATTGGTATGTGTATAAAAATGGCTTTATTCTGTTTTTTTTTTTTGGAATAAAAGCATTGTAAGGCTAAATTCAACTTTTTTAACGAAAAATAATGTCGGATTGATAATATCTTTTTATCTCAAATACTAACACACATTGTATATCCTTGTATATTAAACTCAAGCTTCTATATCACGTCTTTTCAGAAAGTAAGTCTGTTTGTTCACATTTTTGATCATATTCAATCGAAAAAAAGTGGTCACACTCGAAAAAACCCGATCAAATAACTCAAAAACCACGATCCTAGCCGGACACTATACCTACCGTGCCTATGTTCTGAGTAGAATCATTGTAGGATTGGTTGTCAGGGCGAATGTTGGAAAGCTCAATCATACTTCAAACGGAATGTATCATTCTTATTTCAATTTAATGTTGTTTTAATGCTAGCGAATAAAAAAATTACCCAGCTAAACTTAAATAAAACTTATTCATAATTGATACCAATTTCACAACGCGGAAAGATCTTAAAAAATAACTTTTCTGCACTTACATTGAAATCATTGTCAATAGTTAAAACATATCTTGCAAATAGTGTGATCAAGTTTATATCAACATTTTGTGGTCCTGCATTCTGTGGATACTTATGTTTTTGCAGTGCACAAATTGAGATCGTGAGTTTCTAAGACTACTTTTGGTGTTCTTATACTAAATCCTATTTAGTTTGATTGATTGATATTTATCTCTGGGAAACATGGTCTAAATATCACCAACGCGATTTTGAACTAGCTTTAAGTAAATGGAATTATTTTAAGGTTGGTAATTTTTGTCTATAATATACAGGTCCCTGTACACAGCTAGGAACATTTAGCGCATTGACTTTCATTGGTAGCTGTTTGCCATAACTGTTTTAATTAGGCCTAAATGTACATTGATCATTTTGAAAGGATCCAACTTCAGTTTTTTATGAGATATAACAGCTTACTATATTCTATTGTTTATTATAGCTGTTGAAGGCCGTACGTGGACTTGTAGTCTTTTACATTCTTGTTCTTTGTTTGATGATTTTATCATTTTCAATCATGCCACGTCTCCTTATTCACATTTTATTCAAACAAAAGGAACACTTTGCATATTTGCTTTATGAATAATATCTTCGTATAGTTGGGTGTGAAAAATCACTTTATAAGATTCCTACAAGTAAAATCATACAGATCTGCCCTCATAAATCCCCATACTAGTAATAAAATGTAAATTTTAAAAGCAAATTTTCATATGGTGTCAGGAAAGAATATTATGTATTTTTATTGATTATTCATTTCACAAATACATTAAATTCAAAAACGTTTTAAAGTATTAATCAGCTAGCCTACCTCTGTCTTACTACATGGAGAAAAAGTAAAGCTCTGTAACATAATCATTAATGCCATTTTCATTTCCATCAATGCCAGTCGCATTCCTATACATATCCTTGGACCAACACCGAATGGAATAAATGCATATTCTGGTCGTTTTGCTTTATTCTCTTCAGTAAACCTAAAAAATGTGTACACACTAGTTTATTAGTAACACACTAGCCAAAGAGAGGCAAAAGATACCAAAGGGACATTTAAACTCATCAGTCGAAAATGAATTGACAACGATAAAAAAACAAACAACAGTACACAAAACACAAAAAAGAAAACTAAAGACTTAGCTAGACAAACCCTACAAAAAAAACGGAGGCAGCTAATGTGGCTACTAAAATATTAAGTGTCTGGTAATTAGGCCGGTGACCAAAGTCGGAATTATAAAAATTTAATGGTCAAAAATAGTACACGGCTATATAATATACCATTCGATTCTAAAATATGTGTACTTTGAGATTAATTTGGTCGTCAAAAGAAAATATGGTGCAGATTTTCAAAAATCAATATCAAAGGTCACATGTCGTTTTCAATGAAAAACAAAATTGAATATCTAATTCCAATTTAAATACTCTTTTAGCAGTAGAATGATTGAAAACTTGAATCTATCTTCTTCCTTATTCAATTTTTCATCAATAAAGAGGAAACTCATCATTAAATGAGAATTCCGATTAAACGTATGCGACTTTACAAAAAGGGGGGTGGTTTTCAGTTTAAAAAGATGTATCTTTTTCAAATAATAAGTACAAAGGCCGTCAAAACTATACAAAATGTAAAGAAAAATATGAAAAAAATATGTATTTGTTAATATAACTATCTAGTTTACCCCAATGAAAGTGGAAACTTGAGTTTAGGGCATATACGTTGAATTAGGTACATGCAAAACTTGCGACAAAAATTATTTCAAAACAGACTTATAATTGAGTTTAAACAATGTCATGAGGTTTTGTATGAAATAAAATGTATTAATAAGAATAAAAATTATTATAAAATAAATTAACAACTTTAAAGAGACATTTTTAATGATAGAACCGCCTTTTATTCGTTTAAATATTTCGGTTATTCAATCCCAAACTAAGTGACACCAGTTAAGAAATGTTCTTATATGCCGGATGGTTTAACATCGCCCTAAACATACGTAACTGTAAAAGTAATTCAGATCTCAAATGACTTTTGTATTATGGGAACGTTATTTCAAGGTTCTGACCTTTGGCTAGAATACATATGTTCGTACATGGAAGGTTTAGCAAATCTCGAATGTCAATATTGGTCCAAAGTGGTTAAAGAACACGACAAATTTCTTAAACCACAAATCCTATAATAATATTGCGAACATGATGTTAAGTTTTGGACATTTAACCTGTTGTGCATTGGAATAGAGTGGTGGTCAAATGTTTTTGTACCACATGTAGCGTGCTTTTATCCAGCATCATTGGACATTTCAAAAACATTTCGTTATTGCAAAATACACTTTGGCCATATCAATCTAAAATTGGGGGACATAAAACAACAGTAACATCGGGCGCCTCTAGGACAAATTTCAAATGAACCCTGTCCAGAAAAGAATGGTTTGTCCTGCTGCTTGCAACTCTAAATATCTCTCAACAAAAGTCAAGAAAAAAAATCTCTGATCGACAGTATACACTTGCTATGATCACATGATTATAGTCTGTGGAATGTTTCCGATTATCGTGATCGTTCTGTCCTACGGTCTGGTCTGTATAATTGATTTAATATCTGAACTAGAGTAAGCATTGATATCGCACTGCTGGTGGTAAAAAACTTGTTTCTGTAAACTTGTCTTTGTAATAAATGAATAAAGTTTTAATCCCCGTAAAGGTTTAAAGTGGTTGTATGACAAGTTTGCCTTACAAAGCCTTTACTTGAATATAATGTTTTATAGTGTGTTATCCCTTGCCTTTGTTATTGTTTTTTTATTATAATATATGCAAGCATATGAAAAAACATTAATCCATTTTAAAGAGAGACGAAAGATACCAGAGTGACATTTAAACTCATAAGTCAAAAATAAACTGACAACGCCATGACCAAAAAAAGAAACACACCCACAGACAAACCATAGTACACAAAACACAACCTTTGATACCCGTGACTTCGATTTCTTGACTTGAACCGGCTTCTATTTTATCTGCCGTATGTCTCTAGGAAACATATTAGAGGCAACTACAATCGTATAGATATCGTAAAATATCTATACGAAGAAAACCCGATAATCTGTTTATCGTTCTATTACTGGTCTTTTTTTCCTCCCTAAGACAGTTTTACGCTTGACGAAAGCAAGCTTGATAACGTCTCCTCACACATTGTGACATCGCTGATAACTTCTCCTCGGACATTGTGACGTCGCTGATAATGCCTGCTCTCGTCTCAAAGCCGTGATACGAGAATAACGGGCGACTGAGCAGGGTAATATAGGCGTAGGGAAGGACGATAAGTTTGAGTATCCCTTTGAAATCTGCGGCCATTTTTAAGCAGTTAAATGTTAGGAGTACATCCCTGTTCATTAAGTCACTGACTCAACATGCACTTGCTTTAGACATCAATTGAGATATGTAAACACCATACGATATCTTAAAGGATATAGTACTATTGAGACATTGGGAAATTGACAATTGGAAAGTTAAAATTGTCATCAAAAAGTTTGTCATAGGTTTTGTTTGGAGTCGTCAATCTGTGTCAATATCAAAGAAAAGGTCAAGAAATGAAGCAGACATTCTAGTTTCTGTAGTATCCTTTATCACTGGCTCATTGGGGTACTGGTCACTGGGGTATATGAATTTAAGTACTGACTGACATGTGGATTATAGAGAGACAGGAAATCTTCAATATATCTGAATTTGAAATCAAAGAACTAAGCAAAATGGTTTTCTTTAGGTCTTTGAAAAGGTTCTGCATTTCCAATTGCAGTATGGACTGTAAACACTGTTATGTTATGTTGACTTGTGCATCATTAGTGTCCACTTTTATAATAAACAATTTCCAAACGAATTATCAATTCACAATCATCCGCGCACTTTCGGGCAAATTTCATCATTACACCTATCGACTATCAAAATACCGCGGTTGATTGTAAGTAAAATAAAACAATTATCCCACTTCTGCTTTTATGAAAATTGCACTATTTAAGGGATCAAACTTAATGTTTGCTTCTTTGAAATGATAAAGCCAATTTTCAACGGACTTCCCAGTTTTGTCATCTTTGGGGATTTTGTCGGATCCCCATTTCTTAATTAAACAACCGAAAAACGCATTTTGCCTTTAAATAAATAAAACTGTATCAACACAACCTGAAAAAATAAATTACAGACACCCAAATAAATCAACGAAACAATAAAACATCGACATAAACAAGTAATATCAAGTCCTTAATTTTGGAGGAAAACTATGTATTCAGCCCAATCATGGACGGGGCACAACTTTCCGGATTTTTTTTTAAGTTACTGATTGAATAGTAGAAATTTTTGAAAGTTTAAAAAATATCGTTTTAAAAAAATCTTACCTCATAAAAACTTGTATATATGAAAAGAAAAATTGCAGTTTTATTAATTTTTAGTAGTTACGATATAATTCATTCATCAGCGCATTATTGTATGATATTGGAATACGGTGAAAGACAAAATGTTCCCGTTTACAGTAATTTGTACCTTCATAATTTGTTATCAAAAGGCTTTTACGATTATCTTTTTCACATAATGAATAAAGCATTATGTGTTTTGTTTGAACAAAAAAAAAAGACATATATTTGAATGCAGCCCATGAATAAAAGCCAAACTTTATGCCACTCATGATCTGCACTTGAAGTCAAATTTGCTAGCTAAACGCTAAAATAAAAAAAAAAATGCACCATACGACTTTTTGACGACCAATCTTAAATTCAAGTAAAATCATTTTTCTAGGACTGTGCAAATTTTTAGCCGTGTATTATGAAGTGAAATTAAACTCTTTTAATATTCGACTTTTTCCTATTCCGTCACCACACTAAATGGTGAGTCATATTTAACAACGAAATCTCGGTATGAATATAGACATTGATTTATTATGAACTCTAGGCAGCATATATTCAACCTGCAACAGTTTGAGTCAAACATAAATATTTGTGAAGTTATGACATAATTTTAAAGGTTTATGCAAAGATACTTATACAAGTTACATATATAAAAGACTGATGAACATATTCCGACACAAAATGGCCTTCGTAACAGTTGATATTGTGTAAAAAATCAGATATTACAGTTTATGTAAACTTCTTCGCGATAGAAGACGTTTTCAGTCATCGGATAACCTAGGGTTGTGCAGTGCTTATACCATATATCATACATATTTCGGCTGAAATCAACATTATTATATATGCAAATTTACGGAAGTAATTTCTGTTATTCGCTCAGTAGTATTTAAATCCATGCTTTTGTGACAAGGTGGCAACATAGCCGTCAATGTATCCAACGCACTTGAACATTCGGTCAAAGAAGCTTTCCTAGGCTATATAAAATATAGTTTTTGTTATGTCAAGTAGTGACTTTCCTTGCCGGCTTTGTCTATGGTTGTTTCACAGTACATGATGTTTTATGGCATGTAGATAGAATACCTTGTAGATAAGTTGTTTTTGTTTTTCCTTAATACTTAACATGCACGCAAATCAATTTTTTGTTTTATACGTGTAGATACGTGACAACTTCGTGACCGGTGGATCAAAACAACCCTAGCATTAATCGACTGACGAAAGGAAAAACTTGATAAAAGCCCAGGTTGCCAACAGGTCTAAAATAATATACACAGTTCAGATTATGTTGACCCTATGCTACAAAAGCCTTGGTAAATATCTTGCTGAGGAGGGAAAAAAACGAAAAAAAAATTAAAGAAAAACACCACATAAATATATTATTTTGTGTATGATTGGCAATGTTAACTTTTTCTATAAATTTCAATACCTGTCAGGGTCAAATTTGTCAGGGTCTGGCCAGAACAGAGGATTTCTGTGTATGGCATACAAAGGAACAGAGACGTCTACATCTTTGGGAATATAAACACCTTTAACTATTATATCCTGTTTTCCTCCTCTTTGAATTCTATTAAAATTACAAAACACAAAATAATTTAAATATTCTACAAAAGTTGGCAATTGTATTTGAATAGATTGTGTCCAGATAATAGAAATTATGACAATCGACTATGATAAGAATGGTTAAAAGGAAATGAAAACTAATACTACATTATCTTCTTAGATGACTCAAACACATGTATTATTCAAACCATCCATTTAATATAACAATGATTAAAACAAGAGAAAAAAGTCACTTGCATGTTTTGGAACAGCGAAACGTTTCTATTATTGATTAGAAGGGTACGTAAAAATATTTAGGACTTGAAAATTTAATTGAATAAATTATATATATATATATATATATATATATAATAAAAGATGGAATTAAATAAATTTATTCCATAAAAAGTTGTAGAAATCTAGTATTATGCGCTTTGTTTGCTCTGTTTGTGTCCCTATCTTAACCAAAAAGAAACACATAAAAAATTCAAAATGCAGCTATATACCAGTAAAATATATGCATTTATTTTAAAAAAAAAAGGCTTCTACAAGTTTTACTAACCTTACTGCTGCACCGTAAAGGCGAAGTACTTCATTGAAAAATCTATCTAAATATTTTGATTTGGAAAGATCTTCTACTTGTGGTCTTCTCTACAATATATTTATATAATTATGGAAAGGTCTTCTACTTGTATCAAAAAAACGGTATTATAAATCTATCAAACAAGATTCTTCCTTCAGATGCAAACAAGCAATTAACTGTCAATTACTTATATGTTAGAAAATTGTTCTATGTCTTAGTTGTAGGGCTGCAAAACTGCCTAAAGGGCTTTATTTTGAGATCATATCATTTATATTTAGATGTTTGCATCAACCTTGCTAAAGGATATATTTACATTTGTTTTATACATAAATGTCCAAGTTTGTAAGTAAGATATACTGTTGGTCATCGATCACTATTGATAACTCACTAATGATATCCCCGTTATAAGAATTGTCGAAAAAATGTTGATAATCATTTGATGGGAAGACGCATCACTTGGTAAATCTCTTCAAATGAACCTTGATGTCCAATTTCAGGAAGCAGTTTTACTCAGTTTCCAAACATGTGACGCAAATTTATGCACGACCATAATGCAAAAGAGAAAATAGCCAGAAGATACAAAAAAACATTGTTTAGATGTCGAAGATAAATGAACATTGTATACCACGGCAAAAACGGAATATGTCAGTTGCTGATACAGCTAAGGCAAAGCAAATCCTGCTCCACTAGTGGTACCAGTACAGTTGTTCATTGCAAATATAAATTTGGCAGTAAGTCGCATTCGGTAATGCTATAATCGAAGGAATCGAAGACGGGATTGAGGCAACGACAATTGAAACATATCTGTGGTCATCTGTGACAATATGATTATCATTATCAACATAATATATAAAATTAAAATAGAAATAGATTAAACAAAGTTCAACCTTTCAAAGGGATAACTTCAATTTTACCAATAGTTTAAAGACAGTATGATATTTGAATTATTTTTACTAGACATGTGATTATAAAATCAATACTGACACCATGAAGAATGTTATCTATTTCCTCCATACATTTTCTTTGGACATCTTGGTTAGTTGCGAGACAATAACAGGCAAAGGATAATGTATTAGCAGTTGTGTCATAACCAGCTACGAAAAATGTTACAGCATTTTTTTTCAATTCAATATTGTTCAACCCTGTAGAAATAAAAATGCATTGGGTATATTTTGAGGCTTATTTGGCCCTGTAAATTTTCCAAAAATTTAAATGTTGCTTGTCATTTCCCATCTCATTTTTTAAGCATCAGAAAATGACTTTAGCCAAGGCTTTATAACACAATTTGACGCCTTTAGATGACGGCATAAGCAAGTTTTGTCCGATTTGAAACTAAAATTGGCTAATGTAGAAACATTTTAGCTAAAGTTACATATGCGTCGTACAAAATAAAGTTTTGTCAGTGAATAAATACGCATAGAATATCTTACTGTTTAAATATTTTTTTTTGGTGACACTTTATGATTACAAAGCAAGTACAAGTCAAATAGTTTAGATTCGTATATTTTCGCTATTTAACAAACTTTATGGTCATTTCATTGCTGCAAAACATATGAAAAGGCATATTTTTTTCAACAGCGTTGTTTAATGCAAGAATATATATCCAACGTTTTATTCTAAAAATATTTTTGATTTTAGTGTCAAATCGTATCCTTTATAAAGTGTTATTTTAATTGCATATCTATCAAGTAAATGCGAAATGGATTGAATTGTATGCTAGATCACTGATGTTAATATTGCTTACAGGATAAGACATCAATTAAAAGGAATGCCCCACAAGTTATTATGCATTAACGAAAAATTGCCTTTTGAGGGAGTCTACAAAACATTCAAAGTGCCGTCAATAATGAAATGACTGACCCGCATCTCTAAAATTGCTGACATCGTTAAACTCATTTAAAAGTAAGAAACCACTTATAAAATCATGACAGTTAGAGAAGATGGGAAACATTTGAAGATATGAACAGGAGAAGGGATGGACAAACAGGAGAAAACGAAAGCAAAGATTATTTCAGTAAACGGCTTACTGAGTGAAGGTATGACCAAAACTAGACTTTTGAAGTTTACCTCTGTTTTTAAAGTCTTTCAGATCACCCATCGTGAAGTAATCCGACTGTTTATCATCATGGCGTGCATTTAACATCAGTTGAAGAAAATCGTTATAAACCTTAAACCATAAATAATATTAATCACAATCAGTCACCATGTATATACTAAAAGAACTATAGAAATAAAATTTAGCATTATCAAATCGATATTATCAAATTCAAGAAAGCCCCAAATTGTGTTTTTAATATTCTGCTTGTTGATGTTACAGTGTGTTAAAGCTATGTACTTGTATAAAAAATAACCAAAACATTAAAAATGCGATGAAATTATAAAAAAAAAATCTATAAATTCTACAAACTTCTTGTCCTTTTTTTCTTAGTTCAATTGCAGAATCTACAACCGATTTGAAGAAATCTCCAGCTTCTTTCTTGAGGAATTGTACCGTAAACAAATGTTTCAAAATCGGGAACATCACTGAAATGAAAAAAATATACTACAAACCAACATTTAAACTGACTGACAACAAAAAATGGAGAATAATATGTTTATATGGACTTAATGCAGACATATCAGTATCATAAAACCAAAAGGGTACAATCAGAATTGAATGTTATTTGATAAACGTCCAGCGGCAAATAATTCATGCATTTTCAGGATGAGAACAAGTTAACAATAAATACAATAGGAAGGTCATGTAATAGATTCCGTCATGGTTGAAGGTCGGGGAAATTTAGACTGCTACTGGAAAATAAGGGTATATTGGATAGGAACAGAAATTTTGCCTCGCAAAAGGCCATATGTGGACCTCTCAGAGTGTTGTTGCAAGGGTTCTCAACATGCAAAGAACGTGGCACTCTCTTTGCACGAGGCATCGGATTTAATTAACGTCCCCATTTTGAACGGAAGTGGCTGCAAACTTGTACATCCCGCACAGCCATACGGACGCCCCACTTTGGCAAAAGTTTTACTGTCGGTCGGTAGAAGACCAATTTTACCATATTTCTATACCGAAGTCACCTTTTTTTTTTGGGGGGGGGGGGGGAGGGGGGAATTAGTCATGCGCATTTCTATTAAATGACAATGACCTTAATCTTTTGTACTAGTTATTTGTTCTGCCCTCCCACGTGTACTCTGAGCTCGAATATCAATTGGTTTAAAAGGGACAGGTAAAATCACATTATATCACTTCCATGCGCACAACATGCTTTCCTAGAATAACTGCAAAGAGGTGCCCTCGGGGATTGCGAATTAGATCAAATTTGCCGTAAGAAATTGGGAATATGTTCTACAATACTATTCTTTGAGCAGTGAATATATATATATATAACAGATTTAAGAATGTTCGCTCCTCTTGTTTTTTTTTGTCGGCTATTCGGCGTCCTCTGTTTTTATATCCATTGTAGTGCCATTAAAAATGTGGCTGCTGACCCCTACTTTTCTTATCATAATTTCATTACATATGGTTTAAAAAACTGTAATTGAAATTTTATAAAGTCCTTGTTATTTTTTTTTTACAGTTTTTGAAAGAAAAAAGGTGCCAATGCTAAATGTATAAAAAATCTAGAAAAGAATCGTTACCCGCAACTTATTCAATGGCTTATCCCTCGAAAACACGGACATGAACCCTTCATTTATTCTGCTTTTTAGTTCCGTTGTTTATATACTTCTAATCTATAACAGTCTTTTTAAAAGCTTTTTACTTTGGAACAGAGCAGCGAACATCCTTAATCGAGCACGATACGTAAGTATTGAATAAAGTGAATCACGATATGAAGCTAAGTCGAATAAATGAATTTTTCGGAGACAAATCAATTTTACTAGCTGAAGTACCCTTTTGGGGGATTTGGAACTATTGCGCGATGTGAATAGCATGCATATGTCCGAACTCAACGTTTCAAAACAAACTATCATACCAAAATGATACATACTATTTGTGAAAATTACTTACTTATAAGAATAAATTTAGGCTTAAATATTTCTCCAAGAGCTGCATCTTTGGCGTGCTTTACGAACTGGTTATTTGATTCGTTCTGAGAATTAACATCTATACCGAAAGCAGTACTGGCGATAACATCCATAGTGAATGTTTCACATACTCTTGAAATAAAATACACAATTTGAACCACAATATATATAAAATATCGTTAACTGGAAACATGTGGATTTCGTGTTTAAACCAAAGAGCTTAATTTTCGATTAGAAATTGAATCCAGATCCGATTAAAATACAGTTCCAGTATACACACTACGCGTACTGAAAATGCTGTACAAATGAAACACTTGTAAAAACTAAGGGCAATATCGTTGATGAATAAAAAGAATAATATGGTCAAACAATATACAGCTTCATATTGCACTAGTTATGTTTTTCTTAAAATTTCGTTTCAACTATAAAATACCGAATCGCGTTATCGCTGTCTAAATTCCATAAAAAAGGAAAAATCAGGTTCACCATTTCATTAGCTTATAAAACTACAATAAATGCATCGTGTCCGTCAACTTAGCCCAAGCTCAAGCTTAAATGACGCAACTAAATATAAATTTAGCAGATGGGTAAAAGCTTTTATTGACCTGCAAGGGATTGTACAAGATCACAATATATATATATAAATAAGATGTAGTATGATTGACAAAAAAACAATTAAAAACAAATAGGACAAATATGAACCAATGATAATCACTGAAGTACATGCTCCTGGCTTTTTATCATTTAACCTTCTTTCATGGTAAAGCTAATTAATGCAGCATATCCAACTACGTTTAATGACTCCATGGTGTAAATAATGATATGAGCAAATATGTAGAATGTTTAAGCCGAAATTTTATGTGTATAGATTACAGAGATTGCATTGGTTTTTTTTCGTATTGACTGTACAGTATATTTCAATCTTCAAAAGCAAATAATTATTAAATGATATCTTACTCTTTCATGTCGACTGGTTCCCCTTGTTTACTCTGCCGTTGAATGTTTTCAACTAGATTAGTACAACACCTTTGTATTTTTGGGACCATCTGAAATATTTGAAATACGTTTATTATCAATGGTATTCTGAAAAAAATAATAACACATGAAGTAATGTGACGTTAATTCATTAAATAAATCAAGCAGTAAGCAATTATCAAAATCAAAATCACGTAAAAGGACCAACAATAATGAGGTCTGTATATGGTCTCATATTTTCCAGGTTTATATTCTTTATTTCAATTAATCTTCGTGATCAATATGTAAAAATGTTGATAGATATGTACTCAAGATTTAGCTATATTTTTGTTTAAGGGCATGCGATACAGTTTTGATCCTACTGCGATTTAATTCACGATTATATTTATATAAGCTTTTTTACCTGATTGATTCAAATATGTCGTAAAAAGTACAACTTCACGTGCTTCTTTTAGAGATAAATCGGTCCAGAATTTAATAAATATACTCAAATTTCAATTTTTTGGACATTTCTATCCTTTGGGCAGAAAAACATAACTTTTTTGTTTCAAAGAAACAAACACAAACATTTCTTTTATAAAATCATCTGGATATATCTTCTTAACATAAGCATGCTCTAATATTTGTGTAACAATTCTTTTGAAATTATCCATATTTATTTAATTCTCATGATTTTATAAAAACAAAAACAAAACCAGCATTTTTGAAGAAACTTTATCTAATGAAAAAAATTCATCAGTACTTTTTAGCTCAACTGGCCCACAGGGCCAAGTGAGCTTTTCTCATCACTTGGCGTCCGTCGTTCGTCGTCCGGTGTCCTGCGTCCTGCGTCCGTCGTCCTTAAACTTTTACAAAAATCTTCTCCTCTGAAACTACTGGGCCAAAATTGACCACACTTGGCCACAATCATAATTAGGGTATCTAGTTTAAAAAAAGTGTCCGGCCATCCCGCCAACCAACCAAGATGGCTACCATGGCTAAAAATAGAACATAGGTTAAAAATGTAGATTTTGGCTTATAACTCTAAAACCAAAGCATTTACAGCAAATCTGACATGGGGGTAAAATTGTTAATCAGATCAAGATCTATCTGCCCTGAAATTTTCAGATGAATCAGATAACCCGTTGTTAGGTTGCTGCCCCTGAATAGGTAATTTTAAGGAAATTTTGTTGTTTTTGGTTATTATCTTGAATATTATTATAGATAGAGATAAACTGTAAACAGCAATAATGTACAGCAAAGTAAGATCTACAAATAAGTCAACATGACCAAAATGGTCAGTTGACCCCTTAAGGAGTTATTGCTCTTTATAGTAAATTTTTTACAATTTTTCGTAAATTTTTGTAATCTTTTACAAAAATCTTCTCTTCTGAAACTTATGAGCCAAATTTAACCAAACTTGGCCACAATCATCACTAGGGTATCTAGTTTAAAAAATGTGTCCGATGACCCCGCTCACCAATCAAAATGGCCGACATGGCTAAAATAGTACATAGGGGTAAATGCAGTTTTTGGCTTATATCTCTGAAACTAAAACATTTAGAGCAAATTTGACTGGGTAAAAATGTTCATCAGGTTAAGATCTATCTGTCCTGAAATTTTCAGACGAATCAGACAAGCTGTTGTTGGGTTGCTGCCCCTGAATTGGTAATTTTAAGGAAATTTTGCAGTTTTTTGTTATTATCTTGAATGTTATTATAGATAGAGATAAACTGTAAACAGCAATAATGTTCAGCAAAGTAAGATCTACAAATAAGTCAACATGACCAATATGGTAAATTGACCCCATAAGGAGTTATTGTCCTTTAAAGTCAAATTTAACAATTATCCGTAAATTTTTGTAATCTTTTACAAAAATCTTCTCTCCTGAAACAAATGAGACAAATTTAACCAAACTTGGCCACAATCATCACTAGGGTATCTAGTTTAAAAAATATGTCTGATGACACTGCCTGCCAACCAACATGTCAGACATGGCTAAAAATAGAACTAAGGGGGAAAATGCATTTTTTATCTTATTTCTCTGAAACTAAAGCAAATGTATAATGGTTGCATTATTTCATGCATCAATTGTAAATAAAAGTATCAGGTGAGCGACACAGGCTCCCTGGAGCCTCTAGTTCTTATGAAGGGTTGCTACGAAAAATCTTCCTACATAAATTAGCCAAACATCATTTCAAATTAAAAAAAAAACAAGAGTCCATGAATTCGTTTTTGAGCTAATGATCAAAATCAGTGGGAAAATACATCAGGGGCAATAACTCCAAAAATGAATTGCCCAATGTTTCCCAAAAATTACTTGGAAATAGACCTTGACCGGATTTTAGTTTTAACCAAGTCAGTTTTGCTCTAACTGCTTTAGTTTTTTTTAGGTATAAGCCAAAAACTGCATTTTACATCTATGGTCTGTTTTTATTAACAGTGGCCAGGTTAGTTAATGGATCAAAGCTCCGGATATATTTTCAAAGGAATATTCAGATTAATGTTGGTAACATTTGGCCCGGTAGTTACAGAGAAGGAGATTTATTTTTTAAATTAATTTTACAACGACACACGGAAGGACGATGGACCATGTGATGACCTTATACTAAATCGAGGGAAGAAATGTTCATTTTGATTTTATTAAGAACATTTTACTGCTATAACAGTATTCAAAATTACCAGTTTTAATTTTCCGGAAGAGAAGGTAGGGGATATTGTACTACGAAGAAACTTCCAATGATTGTCATAGGCAGTACCGACACTAGAAGCACTATCTTCGTCCATCTTGAATGGAATCTGAAAAAAGCCACAATTAGGAAATATTTATGGTATGCATATTGTGTGAATTATAAGGTAAATATGGGTTAAAATGTCTATATCACATCGGCGGTCATGCGGTAGCATGCTCGTCTCGAATGAGCGAGGACGTGGATTCCAATCGATTCCTGGTCATTCCAAACTAAAGACTTAAAAATGTATATGGCCTGCTTCTTTGCTAAGCATATGACAATAAGAGCAAAAACTGCTCGACTCGAAGTCAGAAAAAAATTACCGGCTATAGGGTGACAAGTCTTCCTGCTGACTGTTAGCATGTGAATTACCTTGCTCACCGTTTCGAGCTAGTACAAATTAGGGTTCGTTTTCATATCATATTAACATGTACTTGTCTAATTATCCTGATATGCATGTGATATTTGTCACTGGACATAAAATAACAATCTACCATCCTAATCATTTAATGATATCTTATATCTTATACTATGTTATTGAAAGTGTAACTCCTGTCCATTTTTTTCTATTATATACGTTTGGCAAAACAAAGGTAGTTGAACAATGCATAAAAATGTATCGATGTGGTCTAAACTAGCTTGTGAAATTTTGATGCGCATAACAAAAATCCGACAGTATAGATACGCATTATAAAAGTTGCAAAAATACGATTGGGAGAAATGATACATGTAATCTTTCAACATCATAAATAGCAACTAACAAATAAATAACTCCAAGATTTATTCAAGAGGACATTTATAATCATATATAAATGAGATTATTACATATAATGAACTACTAGTTTTCGTGACATCTACTCAACCATAGTTGACTCATAGTTCAGTTCAAAGGATTTAAACATAAAAATACTCTACTTATTAACTCAAACTAAAATAAATGGGGAATGTGTCCATGGGACACAGGTGATGCTCCCGCTTTCATATAACGTTATAAAGGGACATAATTCAAGAACAGTAAAAGTGACGCTACCCAAATTCGTACTTGATCTGAGTTTTGTGGTAATAAGCATTGTGTTAAAGTTTCATAACATTTGGTTGAGGCAAACTTAAGTTAGAGAACGGAAACGAAAAATTCAGCAATTTTTCCATTTGTAAAGGGGCATAACTCTAGAACGGTAAAAGTGACGCCACCAAAATTCAAACTTGATCTGTGTTTTGTGGTTATAAGCATTGTGTATAAGATTCATACCATTTGGTTGAGGCAAACAAAAGTTAGAGAACGGAAACGAAAAATAAATTCAGCAATGTTTCCATTTGTAAAGGAACATATTAACTCTAGAAAGGTAAAAGTGACGCAACCTAAATTCAAACTTGATCTATGTTTTGTTTTAATGTTGTGTTTTTGTTGTGTCGTTGTTCTCCTCTTATATTTGATGCGTTTCCCTCAGTTTTAGTTTGTAACCCGGATTTGTTTTTATCTCTATCGATTTATGAGTTTCGAACAGCGGTATACTACTGTTGCCTTTATTTGTGGTAATAAGCATTGTTGAAAGTTTCACGACGTTTGGTTGAGGCAAACTAAAGTTAGAGAACGGAAACTAATTTCGGGACGTACGGCGGGGGCATAAACAAAATTTTTTGCAAATTTATACCTTGATCTTTAAAACAAATTAATGTTGGTATTCATATTAACTTGAGTGATTTCAGATTTTTTCATGAAATTATTTTTCTATGTTGTGTTTTTTAGACTGTTTTATGGTCTTTACGTCGATGTTCGTGTTTGCCATGCCGTTGTCAATTTATCTTCGACTCATGAGTTTGAATTTTTATTTAGTATCTCCTGCTTCTATCTTACTATTATAGTAACAGTTACTATAAATGACTGTTTTGAAATACTCGGGTTAAAGTTATTCGCATGTTTTTTTTAACGTCAAACACAGGAACATTGATTTACCTTTCTTCTGCTTTATTATTTTCAATTCATGCTAGTAGTTTACATCCGGACCATAATACCCCTACATTCCCGCACTATTTATGATTATCTTTCTTACTACATAATATCAATATAAAATACAAATCATTCATACAATTTGATTTAACAGCTAATAAACGGACACTCCTGTAATAAATTAACAGCATGATTCCCACAGGACTACTACATCCATTTGGAATGAACAGGGAATCTATAATTCCTGTTACTTTTTAGACGAACTAGGAAACATTAAATTTTTTACGGCAGAATTTTTTATTTTTCTACAGTTAGATTCCTGGTATGGGTACAGTGATTATAACATTCCTACAAAAATATCTTTCTACCAGGAATCTTCCTATGAATAATTTCTCCCTGCCTCTGTTGGTTTTATCGTTAAGACGTCTCTGTTAAATTTTTATTTCGAAAATCATACCGAACTTACCGGTCTATTTGTGAAATTGGAAAACTCTTTTATGAAAATCTCCTTTACCATTTCTGGATCAGATACCAACAATACAGGCAGGTGACCATGATATATTCTGTAATATTATACATGTATACCGGAATATTCAACAGCAACAACAGTATATATATAACACATAAGAGAGGGGGTAGAGCAGAGTGTAACCCCAAGAAAAAATGTCAACCGAGGCGAATCTGTTATTGTGAATTTTCTGTCATTATTGTCTTTTAATTTTTAATTGAAAGTTATAAACTATAACTTCATGTACTGTGGATTCATTATTATTCGTGGGATACCAATTTTCGTGGGTTTTATGGGTACAGTTAAACCACGAATTTAAATGTTCAACGATTTACAAATTTTCTATTGGTTTGCATGCAGACTAAGGCAAAACCACGAAATTCAATATCCACGAAAATGCAAGATTTCCTCAATCCACGAAAATTGATACCCACGAAAATAAACGAATCCACAGTATATCACAACGTTACATTCATTAGAAAAGAAACAAAAATTAAGAAAGGCGTAAACTATTTGTTTACGTTGCCAGTGTATGAAAAAGACCTGAGGCCGAAATGTAGAACTTGGGCATTGTCTTTAAAGATATTGGTGTAAATTCAATTCATTGTCTATTAATATACATTTTATTATATGATTAACTTTATAACTGTTTGATTATACATTATAACTGAAGATAAAATAAGGTGAATATTTCAAGTTAAAACAAATATTCTGATAGTACTGCATGGCAATACATAGTCCCCTTCCGGTTAAAAATTCATTGTACTGGGACAAAATGCTAACTTTATCTATAACTTGTCATGGTGTAAACTATATAACAAATATCAAGTCAATACCTTCAAGTATGACGAAAAAAAAGTGCGGAAAACTGATTATTTAAGTGAATGCTCTATGTCCTAGGACCATAACTCTGCTCAAAATCATCAGACCGAAATAAAATTCGAACTTGATCTGTAACTTGTCATGATAAAACTATATATCAATTATCAAATCAATATCTTTAAGCATGACGAAAAAAGTGAGGAAAACTGATTATTTGAGTGAGTTTTTTAAGTCCAAGGACCATAACTCTGCACAAAATCATCAGACTGGAACAAACTTCGAACTTGATCTGTAACTTGTCATGATAAAACAATACACCAAATATCAAATCAATATCTTCATGCACGAAGAAAAAAGTGTGGAAAACTGATTTGCCGGACTGACGGACGGACAGACAGACGTACGGAGTGCAAACCTAATGTCCCCTTCGACTTCGTCGGTAGGGGACTAATAAGTGGTACTTACAAATTTTAGTGATCATCACCTGTTTTATTTGAATGATAGCAATTGATATTGCGATTTAAGACACTTTAAAAAATTCCAACTGTTCTATTTGTTGTATGGCAGTAATATTGTTGATTGTTTCAGCACGAAAACAGATATATAAAACTATTGAGATAAACCACTCACCCCACTACTGGTCCGTACGTGTTTACTAGTTCTAGGTCTGTCTTCCCTAATCCCTGTAAAATTTACAATCATAGGAAAATGGTAAATACGAAAATAAATTACATTCAAAACATTGGTTGCAATGAAATTTAGTGATTTGCCAGTCAAATAGTAACCGATAAGTTCACATGTGAAAGACATCCTGTAATTTCACCTATATAAAGTCATTCAACATTATTCATCGTTAATAACTTTGCATCAAAACGGTTTTAAAAAAGGTAAGGTTCATTGTATTGTCTACTTTATATACAATAAAAGTCAATGTAATAATAAGATAACTAATCCAAGGATTCAAATATCGAAAATGTTCAACTCGTGATCGCAGAATACCGATAACCAACTCATTCGCTATGCGCAATCGTGGATTAATGTTGTTCGGACACTCGTTCTCGATAGCTGAATTCCAAGATAAGCATTCGGGTACTGTGGATGCATTGTGGGATACCAGTTTTCATTGATTTCGTGTTTGTATAGGTAAAACAAGAATTTAAACGTTCAAAGAAGAACAAATATTCTAAAGACTTGTATGCAGACTTTGGCAAAACACGAAATCAAATATCCACGAAAATACAATGTTTCCACACTCCACGAAAATGGTATCCACGAAAATAAATGAACCCACAGAAAAAATTAGGAATTAATATTGTTTTACGTTTTAGTTTTTCAAATGTATGGGGATGATTACGATGAATTTGATTTTAACGTCCAGTGGCAAATTTCACATGTTTATCAGAATAAGAATATGTTTATCTGATATAGATACGAACCTTGCCTTGTTCAAGACCGACACGCCAGTTCATAAGGTCACAATCCCCAGGAAGATATGTTGCACTACCCGAACACACTATTCTGGCTCTGTGCCAACTACTCTCTTCATACTCTTATGCATAAATGACAAGTGCTTAGCGGAGAAGCGACAAACACACTAATTTAAGTTGTTGATAAAAGATATACATTGGAAAATATTTCTAAGTCAATTTTGCATTATAAAGTCAGCAGTACATCTTTCGATTCGATCTTGTTTACATTCTACAAGATTTCTTCTTTTTTCTTGTTCACATTAATATTAGAAAAACGACGGAGGGTTGAAGTCATTGCTAGTGTATGTTAATATGTGTTTTTTTAAATTATCAAGGAGTGATAGAGTAGATCAATGTTTTACGTCGACCATTCTATTCTTAAATTTATAACTTTTGCAAAGAAAAACGCAACCAGTCTTAATTCATATTTGTTTTGTTAGTTTGTCCACGATTATTTTCTCTTTTAAAATATGTTTAGTTTTCTTTTTCTCTTTCTGTCTCGTTTTCTTTTTCTGTTTCAAATCCTATCAATCATTTGTAGATATTTGTTAAATGATTATAATGATATACCTTTTTATAACGAGGTAGAATACCCAAGAAAGGTATTGGTCTTGGTCCTGGAATACCTAATTGCCTCCACAGACTGTGGTACCATAACGAATACCTATGAATACAAATGAACATTTAATAATAAAATTATTATTTAAAACACTTTTCAGTCAAAGAACAGAAAAACTTAGAAACAAGTTGTTTGGACTCGTAATAAACAAAATGCTCATCTTGAAATCGAAGATGTTCTTTGGGTCCATTTATTTTTAGAAGTATAATCTTCCTAGGTTTGGTATACAATTTGGTTGTTTTTATAATTCCGGCATTCAAGTCTATAGACATGTGTGTTTTGTTGAACACTTTATTAGTGGTTCACCTGTATATTTGAATAATATTAATACCCAACGAATGATAATGAAACCACAGTAAGTTTATCATTACTTGTACATTATTTGTATATGATAGATATAAGAAGATGTGGTATGAGTGCCAATGAGACAACTCTCCATCCAAGTAAAAATAAGCTGTTCTGGATTCCTACTTTCTCACACTTCACTCCAGTCCAGTCTTATCTAATATTTCCTATTATGTTGTTGGTTTTTTTTATGTTTTTTTTTTAATTTTTTATTACATGCATTCCTATTATGTTTTCGTCATATGTTAATATTGTTTTTATATTTGTATAGGTAACGGACGTCACTAACGTTGAGGGGGGTCGGAGGGGTCCTGATCCCGAAATCCCGGGCTTAAAAACATGAAATACCGAGGTCCCGAATTTAAAGAAATTTAAATCCCGACATCCCGAAATTCGAAAAAAGAATTCCCGGATCCCGAATGGATCAATCCCGAAATCCCGAGCTTAAAAACACCCGATCCCGGAGTCCCGATAAAGGTCCGATCCCCCTCAACGTTGTTATAACTTGTTTCTAATCCCTTTTGCTATTTTGAAAATAAAATATGTTAAAACTAAACTATATGGAGCTAATGAAATTTACAATTTTAAATTTGAAGCGCCAATAAAACTATCACATGGAATATTGAGAGATAAATATGAAAAAAAGTCATGCTAAACTAACTAATTCTAACGAGGTGTTTATTTACCCTACTATTTCGCCTTAGAAAAAAATAATCGGAATATGTCAAATAGGATCTTCTCCATTGATAGCCCAATAATATGTTGTTCTTTTTTCAAATACTTGCGAAATTCTTAATTTAATTGTAAATGTCCTCGACTCGATAATCGTGTGTAGAGCTTGCAAGAGTGCAGATTCGTTACTCAGCTGCGAATTTGCATATGAAACCAAATATAATTGAACGTTCATATTTGTGATTGACCATAACAGAAAAGGTAGTCCGAGGTGCTTAGGTATGAATTGGATCAATTATAATTAATCTAAAGTATATGACCACAACATATATAAGGTAGTCCGAGGTGCTTAGGTATGAATTGGATCAATTATAATTAATCTAAAGTATATGACCACAACATATAAGGTAGTCCGAGGTGCTTAGGTATGAATTGGATCAAGTATAACTAATCTAAAGTATAATGATAAAAATGGGGAGATGTGGTATGATAGCTAATGAGATGAGTATCCGCCAGTTACCACATGACGTGAATGTAAGCATCAATACTAGGTCATCGAAAGATATTCAACAATGAGCAAAATCCATACCATATGGTATTGTATTCCCCTTCTAACTGGTTTTAGAAAAAAGAGGGATAAGGTGTACAATACATGACACACATTTTTTTCAGCCCTAAGTCGACTCACAATAAATTTTTATTATTGATCTTCATCTCAAAGTCACAGTGACGCCTTGCATACGGAGCAAACATGATCACATCACATTGCTATTTATAGACGGTCAAGGGCATTGGTTTAATTGGAATTCCTTGCTAGATATTGATAACTCTACATAATTTATAATAATATAATGTAGTCATTAAGATACTTCAATGTATATTGTTTATCGACTTTATGTACATAATAGATGAATCGTTCTTAGTAATCATATATAGTATCAAATGGATAAAAGGAGAGGTTCCTAAAATTCAGTTTGACAAAAGAAGAAAAGATAAACATTTGAAGGTCATGCGATATTACGAGCTCTATGTTGGGTTCACATAGAAAGATATTCGTCTGTATATTTTTATATTTGATATAAAATTCTGGAAGTAAGTATGCAAAAATCATTATCCTAAATTACCTCTCCTGATGGAATACGCATATTTGAACAAAGAACCATGATGTGGGAATATAGCGCGACAATGCAAAAAAATACTAGCGTTGGAAAATTTCAAAATTTATACATGAAACTTTTACTTAAAAATAAATAGTAATGCATGATTGTGTACTTACAAATATAATGTAATTATCATGATGATAATAGTAAGAACCCATCCTGGCACGTCTATAAATCCAAGAATGTCCATTTGCACTATCGCACGCTGTAATCTAAACAAATAATTGATATTATAGTGTCCCCGTTACCTTTTTATATTATATCAGTATGACCTTGAAGTGTAAAAATTTAGACCGGGAATGTTTAACTGGATTAAATATTATTGAGCAATAACTTTTAAAAAATAAGGATAAAGGTAAAGACTCGATATTCTTTTTCGAAACAAAACCAATGGTACACTATACTTTGGTATTGGCGTGATTCAAAAAAGAGACGGAAGATGGCAGAGGGTCTGGATGGGGGGTCCTTCATTTCTGTATTCTTTAATAATAGGCTACTTTTCTCTATTCTTTATACATTTTGCCCATTATTCTCCATTCTTTATATTTTCGCACCTCATTATTCTATAATCTTTATTTTTTTTGTCCATTTTTCTCTATTCTTTATATTTTGTGCCCATTATTCTCTATTCTGTAAACCCCCATCTACACCCTCATACCGTGCAAAGGGGCAATCAAAATTCAAAAGTCAATTAATTTATGCATTTTTTTTTACAAAATTCAACAGGGTATATGCTAGCGTTGAAAAGATGTTGCTACTCTCTGAGGTAAAGTTGATTGCTAGTACCACAAGGCACAAGCAAACACAAACAAAACGAACTAAAACAGACAGCACCATGAAAGAAAGAAAATCAACGACAAGCCGAACAGTGCACAAAACAACACTGAAATTAGTATGTCTTGTAACAAAGGGATTTTTTTCAGATAGATAAATTCATCCGAAAACAGGTAAGACAGGCAAAGTAGTATTGAGTATGAGGAATAGAAATAGAAAAAATGTATATTCAGTGCAAACAATGAAAACAAAATATCCAAATCATACATGTACCTAAAAGCTTCTGTTGACAATGTATAGAATAAAATATACATACTTGACATGCAATTAACATCTCTTTTAAAATCTTTAATTTGTCCTATATATATATATATATACCTTTTATGAAATAATTCGTTCTTTGGTTATTCCACGAGACACACATACTGTGTATATGAATAAAAGTTGTACACAAAATCAATATGATAACTGTCACAAAGTACGACGTAGATTTGTGTTTTATCCCGGTAGGTCATGTGAAATAAACACAGTGGACAGTATATTATACATATTTTTGTTTTTGAAATGAGTAATATAAACATTTAGAGGGTATCATCAGCTCAATAGTCAGTGCGTCGGTATTGACATATTTTATAACATTCATTTCTTAAATTCTCTGCCTATAGATTTAGTAATTATTTCAACTCCATCATGTTTTGTCCCCCCCCCCTTTCCCCACACCTTTAAGTCTACTCTGATGCCACTGATTTCATTCTCAATTTATATAAATATGTGTTAATAGATATTCTCCTTTCACGCTTAATGTTTTATAACTTATTCCTAGGGATAATCTTGCCGCAATATAATTAAAAAACATGATAAAATATAAAGTAAAAAATTAAAATAGAAAATTAAATGATAAAAGAAAAGAAAAAGAACTATGGAGCAGACAGTATGTTGCAAACAAACCAACCACAGAAAAGCAAATAATATGAAAGAAATAGTTTTGTCTATCCGTTCGTCAATCCGTTACAATCTTCTTTCGGCAGTATACACGAAAGATTTAATACTTTTTACACAACTTTTTGTTTGTTATTATGTTGCACTGTTGACAACTTTTCCGCCATTTCTATTTCACAGGAGTAATGACACTCCAGATTGATCATTTTTAGTATATGGTAGCCATGACACCTTACGCACGCTACGTCTGCTACGGGTAAGGGGGAAAAGTCCCTCAAGCAAAGTTGACTAGTTACTGTTTCTGCATTTTTATATATTTATACACCCCTGGCTTTCAAATGTTTTAGTTTGATCGTTCCTAATGACGGTTAATCCAGAAAAGCGCTTCTAACGTTCGGAATCTATAATGTGTTATTTTCATTTAGACATTATGTCGCAAGTCTTCTTACTTAGTACGATGTTTTGTCATTGTGTGTGTAATTGACAATAACATATCTCAACTTAGCTTTGCTTAATTTTTACAATATTATAATATATATGTTATAAAGACATACTGAGCATTAATATACCACTTTTGAAGGTATGTAACCACTAATTCGGGCCCGGTTAGAAAGAACATACAAGAAAGTAGTACATATTTTAAACAAAATAGTTCCTACGCATAGCTGTAACTTTGTCAATTAGTAAAATATTTTGGTGAATTCGGTATCAAATGAAAGCTTAAAAACCTGGAATCACTGTAGGAGCCTTGTTGAAAGTTTATTTGGAATAATAAAAGACATATGAAATTGTAATAGGAGGGCACATTTGCCCTGTTGTTCAGATCAGAAGTACCTGTTTTTGTACTACCAAACTTTCGGGAACCAGTGCGCTCTAATATGCAATCAAAGGTATGTTGAATTTTTATACGCCCGTCAAATTTTTGACGGGACGTATTATGGTATACAAATATCCGGCGTCCGTCCGTCTGTCTGTCTGTCCGTCTGTCTGTCCGGCGTAAACATGTCGCACCGTAACTTGAGAATGACTTATCCAAATTTCATGAAACTTAATATAGTTGTTTCTTATGATGCTCAAACGATCTGTATACTTTTTGGTGAAAATAAGATTAAAACTTTTTGAGTTACGGGACTTAGTAACTAAAACAGGTGTGTGTTTTTTTTTTCACATGTCAAAAACAATTTATGATTATTGCTTAAAACTTTACACACTTCTTAGTTATATTAATCTTAAGATCTGTATACTTTTTGGTGATGATTCAAAATTTTATTTTAGAGATATTGAGTATTTTGTTAAAAAAGGGGGAGGGGTTTTTCACATGTCGCGCCGTATCTCAAAAACGATTTATGATTATTGCTTAAAATTTTACACAATTCTTAGTTATATTAATCTAAAGATCTGTATACTTTTTGGTTTTGATTCAAAATTTTGCTTTTGAGATAATGATTTTCTTTTTTTTTTAAAAGGGGGGGTTTTCACATGTCGCGCTGTATCTCAAAAACGATTTATGATTATTGCTTAAAATTTTACACACTTCTTAGTTATATCAATCTTAAGATCTGTATACTTTTTGGTTTTGATTCAAAATTTTATTTTAGAGATATTGAGTTTTTTGTAAAAAAAAAGTGGGTTTTCGCATGTCACGCCGTATGTCAGAAACTATGTATGCTTATTGCATAAAAATTCGCACACAAGACGACGGGCGTATCATGCGCTCATGGCGCAGCTGTTTATTCAGGATAAGGTAAAGTTTTGACATGAAATAACTGCAACTTTATTTAAGTTAAGACAAAGTAGCCATTAATGCTTGAAATTGCAGAATTTAACATAGAAAGCAATGGGGCTACGAATCAGTGGTTTTATTTCTATTGAACACTACTTCTTCCTATTGTTTGCTCAAAAGCTCCTATACTCCATAGGTTGTTTGTCATTATTAGTAGTTGTCTGTATTCAACCGTTATTTCGTACATTCGTCGTAGGAATTATGATACCTTGACAATTTTGGTCTACATTAGTATAATATTACAGTCTACATTGACACCAATCACAATTATAACACTCTTCAACTAGGATTGAAAATCCCTTTGTGTAACTGATCATTTTGATTTGACGAAAATTGAAATAAATTGATATTTACGAGATGTTCAAATTTCGATGATAATGTAAAGTTACTTTACACTTTCAAGTTAAATTAAATTTAATGAAACATCTAGAACCTGTACAATTTCGTCTTCTGTACATGTAGAAAATCTTAATCCAATCGACAAAGTAGCTTGTAAGTTTAAGGTAAAACAGAATATAACGTCAGATTATTGCATAGCGTATTTGCCAAAATGCTATTAGACAGGCTAAAGACCGTACGGTTGCCTATAATTGCTTGCATCCACTTCATTTGAACTTTCGCGGATAGTTGTCTCATTGGCAATCATACCAAATCTCCTTATTTTTATAACTAGAAAATTCTACCAATTGACATTTGCCATTAAGAAGATAGCACCGAAGATGCTATTCTCAACCGCAAATGAGTCTAAAGGGTCACCAGTCTAATTTATAAACTAGTACCTCATGCACAACTGACCCACATTACAATAAGATGTTCGTTGACAACCAAAAACCTTTGGTGTGTGATCTGATGTAGTCGTCGATATACTTTTGAAAGATGACTATTGCATAAATTTTTAGTTTGTTTACTTTGTAGTATTTAGTTCAGGTTGTTTTGGGGTCTGCGTTTCTTATTTCTGAGCCTCCTCATGGGGTTTTTGATGATGTGATTACTTGGCCGTTTTTATAGTGATTATTTGATAACCAGACTAAATATTTCATGATAATTTGATTATTTGATAATGTAGGACTGTATTTTTGATTATTTGATTATCTTGTTTAAAAAATAATTAATGATCAAGTGATTATATTGGCAAACAAATTGTGATTATATGATTACATGGACACCCCCATGAGGTGCCTCATTTCTATTTACGCGTATTGTATGCGGTTTTTTCCCCTAGTTTTTAAGTGTTCGTCTTTATTGTCACCAGGACTGAATTTTCCTTCTTCTGGACAGTGGCCTCAGTTTTGTACTTTTTTTTTAATAAATGTTACTTCATTTGGATCTGACTGACTAATTTTTAAGTCTTAAAAATGTATATGGAAATGATTGTAAGAAAGTCTCCCAAACTGTTGATTGATAGGCAATTTATTGGTTTTTACTGGTGATAGTCTGGCTATCAAGGACAATGGCAAGTTCGGGATATTTTTTTGGGATAAGATATATAATTTTGCTACATTCATGTCTGTGTTTTTGAGTCAACATTTTTCTAATTCGGAATACTATACTTATCTTTTAATATCGTATGAAAAATGGCGAGCGATGTTCCCAATATCTCATAAAAGTCCAAACCAAACCTTATGTATTCTTGTCAATACATAATTATTTGATTTCCGCGCCATACTTTTTAACGACTAACTTCAAGAGAGTGACGGTAACTTTCATAGACTTTTCGGTACTGCCATGTCAAAAACATGTGTTCATGTATGTATTTGTAACTACTTAGCTAACATATATATGTTAACTGAGGGTTGAAACTGGACTAGGATTTAGCTTCCAAGTACTGCAAGTTCTATAAGATCGGTAAATAATAGTTATAATATCCATTATAGTGAAAACAATCATGAAAATAATAATAACTTTATTTAAATAGGGCGACTCAATTAGAATTTACTAATCTACCTCGAGGCATCCATAGGATAACATACAGAACAAGTATGTCAAAGATACCCATACAAAACCAGGTTCAACCCACCATTTTTTTCTTAAAATATCCTGTATACCAAGTCAGGAAAATGGCCATTGTTATATTATAGTTCGTTTCTGTGTGTGTTACATTTTAATGTTGTGTTTCTGTTGTGTCGTAGTTCTCCTCTTATATTTCATGTGTTTCCCTCAGTTTTAGTTTGTACCCGGATTTGTTTTTTTCTCACTCGATTTATGAATTTAGAACAGCGGTATACTACTGTTTATTAAACACATAATACAAGCATTTACGTTAAAAAATTATCTGTAAAACAGACAAAATAAACTGCTTCGCTGAGCGCAGCTGGATACGCCCGCAGAGGTCCAACCCTGAACAGTTGGGGCAAAAATGGACACAATATTCAAGCTTGATACAGGTCTGAATTTGGATTGTAATTAAATATTTGACATATTACAGGTTTCTGAATAAATGTAGTCAAAGAACTTGAAATTGTTTATATGAATTGAATTTATATTCAATTAAAAATTTCTTGCTGTTGTGCAATACACTGTGCTGTTGCGCAATACTTAGTAAATCTGTTGTCAGACTATAAACAAATAAAGTTCAATTAATTCTCAATGTCATATTAGAAATTTATGAAAATCAAAAGGGAGCTTACATCAATAGATATAAACAATTCACCAAAGTTTCATGAGAATTGCTGACAGCATTTTTGAGTTATTGTCCGAAAACTGGAAAATCCCCCCTTTTTTAATGAATAAAACCCCATAACTCAGAAATGTAAAATGTAAAATTTATAAAATTCTAAAGGGAGCTTACTTAAATAGATATAAACAATTCACCATAGTTTCATAAGAAATGCTGAAAGCAGTTTTGAGTTTTTGTCAGAAAACTGGAAAATCCCCCTTTTTTATGAATAAAACCCTGTAACTCGGAAACGTAAAATCTAAAATTTATAAAAATCAAAAGGGAGCTCATGACAATAGATATAAACAATTCACCACAATTTCTTGCAAGTTGGTGAAAGCATTCTTGAGTTATTGTCCGAAAACTGGAAATGCCCCTTTTTTTAATGAATAAAACCCCATAACTCAGAAACGTAGAATTCAAAATTTATAAAAAACGAAAGGGAGCTCACGTCAATAGATATAAACATCACCAAAGTTTTATGCAAATTGGTTAAAGCGTTTATGAGTTAATGTCCGACATGTTGACGACGGACGGACAGACGGACGGACGGACAGACGGACAGACGGACAACGGTATACCATAATACGTCCCGTAAACGGGCGTATAAAAACACAATGCATACTACACAAACATTAAAAAGACAAAAGAGAGTTGTCACATATTACTTACAATAAAAAAATCTACTTATTTTCTTTTAAAAGTACCAAGACTTTCAGTGGTTTTTGATTGCTTCCTTTTTTTCTTCGCGTCCTTTTATAACCTTTTATAGGTGCTTTATATGTTGAATTAAATGAGTAGAATTTTTTTTAAAATCGATTGTTTAGTCATTTATTTGTGTTAACAAAATATAATACATGCAATCTAAAATAAATCATCAAAGATGCCAGGCTTATAATTTGGCACGTCAGACGCGCGTTTCATCTACACAAGACTGTTCATCAGAGAATCTACTAAGGGCGAAAACAGTAAGTCGAAGAAAGACATTAAATACCATGACCAAACAAAAGCACAGTCCAAAAACATTACAATGAAAACTAAAGAATAAACCGATGAACTCCGAAGCTCAGAAAGGATGCGCATTGTCCCTTTCACCAGTGGCATAGGGCGACTCTCGGGCGCGTTCGATTCGATAATGTCATCAATATGGGAAAAGAATACAATTGTGGATAAATGGTACATATCCACAAACAAGATTATTGTCTATATAATACAAGTCTATTCGCTTCGTAGTGTAGAATAACGTCAAATGTTACTTCCTACATACCACTGTTCATAGATTAAAACCATTTAAGTGTATATGAAATCTTGATTGAAAATTATCCAGTGTAAAGTTCCTATCTTTTGTTTATTTTCAATGGAATACCATTCTTGGCACGAATTATTCCTCCAGATTCAATTTCAACGGGTATCTGAAAAGTAAAACGACTAATTATTATGAACAGAAACAACTGTAATGTTAAAGAGATATTTTGCTTAAAATACGAGTTAATCCACTATTCATCTGGCATTCATCTGGCTACAACAGCCTTTGTCAGGATTTAAAGCAGCAATGAGAAAATGGATGATGTAGTAAATGTTGTATAGAGTGTATACTTAGAATGGAACGATAACAATCCTGTGGCATAATGTGCGATTTCAAATATGAGTCTCCAATATATATGAGCTCTCTAATGTTCCACTTGCCTGTTCAGGTTCAGTGTCATAACAAATAGAACATTAAAGAATGTACAATCACAATTAGTTCACAAAACCTCTAAATCCCGGAAATCATAGACAATGACATCAAAATATATTTATAGGTTCCATATATGGGTCATTTTAAAAAAATGTCGAATTTTGAAAATGTAAAATTGAATTAAAGTTACTAATTCAAACAACCCTCGTCAAAAGAAAATCAAAACAAAAAGATGCAATCTTGATAATGTCATACAAGAATATATTGAAACATTTTTTGATAGGTGTTGCAATATTTTGCCTCTCCTGTTACCATGTTCAAAAGAAATTTCTGGTTATTAAGAAAAGGTTTCGATAAAATTTTAAGCTTGTTTTTTGTAGCCAATAAGATGGTTTTCAATTGTAAAAACTTCTATATATATTTATTCTGTGAAATGATAGATTATTTGTCAATTTTCCATGTTGTACTGAAAAATGCCTCTAAAAATTGGTTTTTTAAAGGTTATGAAAATTACCACCAGTAACGCAAATCTAAGATAGCAATTCATAATGTTCAGCATTTTTTCTCTCTTTTTAATAAACCAAACATAAAGTAATTGCCTCGCATGTTGGTTTACTTTTATCTTTATTTAATTGGTAACAGGAACGTACGTTAATGATATACCATGCACCATATTAAGTTCTATCCTGTTACCTTTTTGTCTATCCTGTTACCGATATCAGTATTGCATCTGTAAATGCTAATTTGCGAAGATTAAGACGTTATAGCCTTTAGATGAGTTCAAACAACGAAACATTTCATTATGTGTACAACTATATGTAATTATAAACTTTTTAATGACATTTCTGTCTACTATTGCTATCCTGTTACTGTAACTATAGCAACCATAACAACCATAGCAACAGGATAGACATAACAGAATAGACAAATTTCTTCAATTTTGAATGCTGTTGTGAAATAACTTTTCCCTTTGATGAAGTGATAATGTTTTGCTGTTGTGATTTCGGTTTCCAACACGTTGTTGCACTTTTTACATGTATAATATTGGTGTAATATATAAATGTGTTGGTAACAGCATAGACATGACAAAAGGGAACCCACTACTTTTGTTCACTAAATGTTTTGAAATTTCTATTCTCTACACTGTTATACAAGAAACGTGCTGTGTTTAATGTTTGGGTTACTTTGTGGTTTTGAAATCAACACTGACTAGTTCAATATTCATAGGGAGAACAATTTAACGGTTGATTTAAGTAGCGGTAACAGGATGGACATGAACTTCATATACGCTGATTGAATTTAGTTTGTAGAAAAAATGTTACATATAATAATAAAGAAGCTGCGATTTTTCGTTAGAGTTATTATTAACATTATGAAAAAGTCCCTTTTGCAGATATCAAGTCAATCGGAAAATAGAAAAAAAAAAATTTGAAATGTGTTACCCTGACGCTGTACGCACATAAATTACGCAAAAATCGGACTTAAATATATTTTAATCTTACCAAAATAGATCTAAATAGTGTTTATTATCAATGTTCTGTCTACAAACTTTCATTTAAACACTTACAACTGCATTTTCAATTAGAAATTAAAAAAAAATAGCATAAGTGTACTAAAAATTCGACATTTTTGAAAATTACCCATATAACGAATGAGTAGTTGATATCAGCTCGAGTTATTGCTTTGGCGAGTTTATTGTTACTATTTAGATTAAATAAAGAAAGATAATATCAAGCGATATGCAATTCTCACGGAGTTGTGAAATCTATTTCTGTCATGGTAAACATTGTATTTGTGTTAAATAGAATTGTATAACACTATGACGTCATATTCCTGTTCTTGCGTCAAGCTTTAACATCAGATATTTTGAAATTTTTGTGTACACTACAGAATGTAATGAAATTTGAGAAAAAAAAATTTTTAAAGTGTTAAATGTTTAGTATATTTTTGAACGAATCAGATATCTCTATTTATGATTCTCGATAATCAAATTAACGATTGTTTTGTATCATTTATTCGTCTCGCATTCCGTACAATGTGATACGAAAAATATTTTTTCATGCAAGAAATAGATTAATTAATTGATTGGTTGTTGTTTAACGGCACTTTCAACACTAGTGTGCTATTTCGTGGCGGACAGTTTTTATTGGTGGAGAAAGCCGGAGTTCCCTGAGGGAATCACAAGAAATAGATATCAGGCCACAACCATAAAGGAAATAAAATCAAGACACTGTTGAATAATACCGTATCAAAGAATTCATGTAATAGACTATTTTCATATTACCGACTTTTGACTCCGGATTATATAATTTGTCGACTGGTTACCTTGGACATCATGGTACCAAGTCAGGTAAGAGCAAGCTAAAGAAGTAAAACCAAGCGTTCAATCGGTACAATTTTTGGGGAAAATTACTCGCTTAACATTCTTTTTTCACTACAAAATCATCGGAAAACAGTAAACTTTCCCCTCAAATTACACCGATTATATGTTTGATTTTACTTATTTTGGTTGCTCTTACTTGACCGAGTACCATGATGTCCAAGGTAACCAGTCGACAAATTATATAATCCGGAGTCAAAAGTCGGTAATATGAAAATAGTCTATTGAAGACAAAAATGCTCTTTTCGAAAAAAATTATTATAACAATAATTGATCTTAAGTTATGACGTAATATTACTTGGTATTGATATGACTTACGACTTCCTTTTGTTGTTAGATTTTTTGCGATTTCAGCATAAAAAACTATAATAAGGAAATGCTTAAAACTGCGAATCTTTATCAACCCAATGTCGTACAATATTCACTCATTTTACAAGTTACTAATTGTACTTCTATATAAATTTGTTATCTTTATAAATGAAAAAAGGAAATATTTACTGGAAACCTCTGTGTGTAAATGATTTTTTTTTTTGCAAACAACGAAAAACAACCAAAAGACAAACAACAGTATACAAACATAGCAAAACATAGCATCGGAAACTAAAGCCGGATTTGTTTCAGGTGTTCCGGAAGGGTAGGCAGATTCTGCTCCACATGTGGCAACCGTTATCTTTTCAAAATTCCTGCAAGTTGAATCATACAGATGTACCGTAATAAGTCCTATTATTTGTAGTACAATCTGAAAGCAAATGACAGAAACTAGAATGTTTATTTAAAGGGTAAAACTATATTTAAACCTACCTCTGTCTTGTTACAAGGCGAAAAAGTAAACGTCTGTAGCATAAACATTAACGCCATTTTAGCTTCTAATAATGCCAATCGCATTCCAATACATATCCTTGGACCTATTCCAAATGGAACAAATGCATACTCTGGTCTTTTTGCTTTATTCTCTGCAGTGAATCTGCAATACGTGTACAGTAAACATCATCTTAATAGTAAAACATTAGGGCCATGACAATATGCTAATTATTGGGGTCACGTGTAAGTTTCATATGCCAGATAATCGCATTTTACAAATCAAATTAATATAATGTTTTAGTCTTTACTCAAATACGTGTTTTACGTTCTATATTAATAAATGCAAAATACAAAATCAGAACTTTCCATATTATATATTTCAAATATAAAAATGTATGTCATTTGATCGCATATATATGCAAGTATAACATTTCAAATGTATAAACCAATGCTAACTTTAAAAATTTAGGTACCTGTCAGGGTCAAATTTTTCCGGATCTGGCCAGTAAAGAGGATTTCTGTGTAAGGCATACACAGGTACAGAGATGTCAACATCTTTAGGAATATAAACACCTTTAACTGTTACGTCCTGCTTTCCTTCTCGTTGAAATCTATTTAAAATTTAAAACAAAACCAATCTTTACATTCCAATAACTTACTTCAGTAATTTGTCCTTAGTCTAGGTAACGATAAAAACCACATTAAACTATGATAACAATGGATGAATGAAAAACTTAACACTTTTTATTAAGATGACTTCAACATTTGCATGCTTCAAAGCTTGTATGTCATATGATAATAATTTACGAAGAATGAAATATGTGCTTCTTTATTAGCAAATACAACTTATATTATTTAAAAGAACGGCTATAAAAATATATAAACAACCAAAACCAAAACTGACAAACGTATAACTATTATTGGAAACTGAACAAATTCAAATAGGATCGAGTCGGATGATTTTGTTTGTTCTATTTCCCTTTTCACTAACAGGATAGGTAGAAAATGTCAAAAAGGCTACTTGGTGTTAATAATACATAAATAAAAAAGGATCATCAGAATCGTCCAAGATACCACAAAGTACAACATATCACATCAACCACCAACACTCGACTCCTCCGAAATAACCAGACAGAACAGCGAACAACACTTGATCAAGGTAACGTGACTTAATTTGCATAGATTTCTCTACGGTTTGACTAACCTTGTTGCTGCACCATAGAGACGAAGTACCTCATTGAAAAATCTGTCCAAATATTCTAGTTTGGAAATGTCTTCCATCTGTGGTTTTTCCTAAAAATAAAAGATACATATATTTATGTTTAGTGTTAGAGGCTGCTAGTACCCTGAATCATTTATCTGAATATGATATGATATGTCTGTTGTGATTCGAGCGTCACTGATGAGTCTAATGTAGATGAAACGCTCGTCTGTCACGTAAAAAAAAGTTTGTTTTTTTCAAATGCTTGGTTCCTTGCATTTTGAAAATTAAAATGTAGAAGAACGTTTCACACATCTTTGAGAAGTTCATGAGACATTAATTTGTCAGATATCAAAATTGATACATTTAATTTTTAGTTCCTTTTTTAACTAAATGATTAACATATCCAATAACTATTTTCTATATTTGATCAAATGTGTGAATGTGGATAAGGTAGTGGCCTATATTTTAATTAGTTATCAAGTTGCCATTTTAGGTCCATTATGTCAATATAACATGTTTATGACATCATAATGCTTTTAAAACAAACAGTTCTGCCCTTAATCATCCAGGTTATATCATTTATTCATTTATTAACAAACATAAGTTTAAAGGATTAAAGGATTTAAAACAAGAATGTGTCCATAGTACACGGATGCCCTACTCGCACTGTCATTTTTTATGGTTAAATTGGGGTCAAAACTCTAATTTGGCATTACAATCAGAAAGATCATATCATAGGAAATATGTGTACTAAGTTTCAAGTTGATTGGACTTTATCTTCATCAAAAACTACCTTGACCAAAAACATTAACCTGAAGCGGGACAGTATCATTTTCTGTGTTCAGTGGACCGTGAAATTGGGGTAAAAAACTCTAATTTGGCATTAAAATTAGAAAGATCATATCATAGGAAACATGTGTACTAAGTTTCAAGTTGATTGAACTTCATCAAAACGTAACTACTTTGACCAAAAACTTTAACCTGAAGCGGGACAGACGGACGGACTGACGAACGGACGACGCACAGACCAAAAAATCCGAAAGCCACTAAGTGGGGCATAAAAATGATGCAATTTTATTGATAATGACCATTAATTCTCCTCCACCCTTACTTGCTCAGGTCTTAGTAAAAATATTTTTTTCCGATTGGGAAAATTCATATAAGAACTTTGCAAACCTATTCCACTGTTGTTCACATTGGCGAATGGCCGAACAGTTTAAAATAAGTTAAAAATGTGTTGTTTTTTTTTTATTTTTGAAAATATGACATCCAACAAAATCAAATCAAGAGTGCTGTAGAGGACCGTTCATACATATCTTTCAACTTTTGACAACAGAAAATAAAAATTTATTTCAAATATAATTCATTTTTGTTATTGTTTACCACCTCCGCTGCTCTGTTTGTCATCCTTTCAAATAAGATCAGGATCTTTGCAGAGGCTCTCGAAATCAATCAAGTAAAATTTGAAACATTTTCCCTAACGTTTTTCTTCAATAGAATATTTTATATATATATATATAATATCGTTTTAAAGACAAATAATTCGACAAAACAAATAGCTTTTGTCCATGTCTTCAGTGTGGATATTTCCCAAAATGAAATAGATAGAACATGACAAACCTTAAGTTCTCCCTTGTATAGTGTAAAATTACTAATATCCATGTAAGTTAATATGAAATACATCAAAAAGCAGGGTACATAACTTATAATCACCATAATAGAATACTATAAAATTATATGAGAGAAAACTAATTGTTTTCAGATTTCATTTTCCAAAAAAAAGATGCAAAAGGGGAAGGCAATTTCTAGTTTCGAGCTTTTATGTACATATACAATTGCAGCAATATAAGATGAAGAACAGTTCTTTATAAGCTTATCAATGCCAATCGCATTAACGGAATGAAATAAAACATGATATTATTGGTACGTCAGAGGCTTGATTTACCTTCATAAGGAACGATCAAACCCAGACATGTTAAAAGCCAGTGATGTATAAATTGTCGAATGCAATACTTAAGGAACTATATCCTAAACTGACCAAAAAAAGGAATAGCTAAACTCATCTAAGGTCAACTTTGACTTTCTTAGTTTCTTAAAAATATCTAAATTTATTAAAGGGAATTACAAAAGATATGTCGTTAATGACGTTAGTCCATTAAATGTTTGAATTAATTGATATGATCTTATCAGCCATAAAACGAATCGATCAACATGTGCAATACTGATGACGTCATCATGTTGATATTTATGCAGCTTGTTGTCCCGGTTCCATAGATAGAAAACAAATCCGTACAGGCTAATACAGCATATATACTTTCGGTTGCAATTAATTACGTCTCCAAGGTGTTTGACATCTTTTGAATCACAAGGTTAATTTTAGTCATAAATTATGTTCTATATTTTGTTACGATTTGTTTATGTTGGAATTATTTCACAGACTTTCCCAGAAGAACTTTCGATTAATATCAGTTCCATTTTAGTAAACCGACCACTAGAACGTAGAAGATATTTAAGAATTAAGTGGTTAAAGTCTGTTCATTATCAGCTAGCAATACTACTTGTAATAGTTAAGCAATGTGTTTTTTTTACTGAACACATGCTTAATCAATACCTACACCATGAAGAACATTATCTATTTCCTCGATACATTTGTCTTGGACATCTTGGTTAGTTGCTAGACAATAACAGGCAAAGGATAAGGTATTAGCTGTTGTGTCATAACCAGCAATGAAAAAAGTCACAGCATTTTCTATCAATTCCATATTGTTTAATCCTGTAAAAAATATTATTACACTGCGTGAGTTTTCACAGGTTCTGAATCGAATACATATTTACTTACAACAAATGTAATATTAAGAAACAGAAAAAGAAAGCTTCTATATTAATTAATTTGAATCACATTATAACGTAATTCGAATATATCGGAATTTTGCATTTAAGAGAACAAATTCAAGAAGACTGGTAAGAACATTCGTATCATCTAGAATTTTTGAGGCATTTCCTACGATTTTGACAATAGTTGCAAAGAGGATCAAAGTATGTTTTTGTTTATGTTTCAAACAAATACAAGAAGGGAATATTGAATAGTAATCCGTTATAAGCAGTCAGTGCGGGTAATTTTCATCAAAGAATGATCTTTTTTTTTGTATACAGATACAACATGTTTTAACAAGAAACCAAACTACAAGGTCAACGCAAAGAGGCGGGAAGTCTATAAAACCTGACAAAACCATAGATGATTTACATCATTCTTTTTTAGTCTATGATAACATCAAATAGAACAAGAAAACTCGCCAATATACTATTATTAAGCTATTTTTACAAACGCTTACTTCCGATTTTGTATTTATGTTTCTATCGGGGTTACATGCACATCCGCAATCTTTGGGATGATGTCGATTGTTCATTAGGTGGCGTCTTATTCCAACAAGCGCATGAAACGCTCATTCTTTTGATCGATAAATGTACTGTTTATTGTTTCCTATAGAACTTTTGTAATCCGGATATTCTTTTCAGTATGTTAAAAATCTATTTTGAGGCTTAAGATATAATCGCTGGTACTGAATTTCGTAGCTACAAATGTAATGCCGCTTTAAGTTCACTCAAAAGGATTTAGACATATGTCTTATTGCTGATGTGGGTATTGCTTATTAAAGAACAAGAAATTGAACGTAATGTTTGTCAAAGTATACATGCATTCGTTATTTGACATCGACGAAAAATTCCATGTTCTAAGAATATACTATAAAGCGTCATCGAACAGAAGAAAGTGGCAACCCAACAGTTAACAGTAGCTTACAACTCATGATATCATGTACCAGATTAGATATCAAAACATTCATCCTTAATACAGAAGCTGGGTAATCCTATCAAATTCCATGTCCAGTGGGTTTGAACAAAATTAAAATTATCGACAAATAGGAAGTAACTGCCTAACACATCCGAACATGACTAACACCATACAACTTAACATTATAAGCTTCCAGACGAAATTTCAAAGCATATTGTAGCGATGAATTCCATTCTCGCTAGGTAAAACAGAAATAAACCAAAGAGAGGCGAAAGATATCAAAGGGACATTCAAACTCATAAGTAGAAAATAAACTGACAACAGACAAACAATAGTACACAAAAAACAACATAGAAAATTAAAGACTGAGCAACACGTACCCCACCAAAAACTGGGGGTGATCTCAGGTGCTCCGGAAGGGTAAGCAGACCCTGTTCCACATGTTGCGCCCGTCGTGTTGCTCATGCTAGTACAAACCCGGTAATAAGTCTAATTCGGTAGGTCACTGTCGGGAAATGGAGGCGGGATTGTAGTTACGACATTAGGAATATATCCGCTATCATCTGTGAAACGAATATTTCATAACGGTCAACCAACTCGTAATGGCGTCCGTAAAATTTACGAAGGGATGATTTCAACTTCACCACTTAGTACACTTGGTATAATAGCTTCTTTGTGAGCAGCAACCTTCTATCAAGGAAATCATGATAGGAAATACAAGCCCTGGAATATCGTATCAACTGGGAGATATATTCTCCGTATGCAGGCGCTGCTGGAATGTTGCTACATAGAAATGGAAAGTTCACATTAGGGAAGCTGAAATTATCTCTTTTGTCGTAAAGCTTTGTTTTCCACCGACCCTCATTACTAATTTTTAGATGTAAGTCAAGTCAAAGTATCATCAAACAGGATGTCACTGCCCAACAGATATGAAAATCGTATTGCCTCACATCATTATTAAATTCCAGATTAAATATCAGATCAGTCTTTAAGACAGAAACTGATTTTTCTGTAACAAAAACATGTAGGGACACTAGGACGGAAGGAAAATGCCATTACAATACCCCATCCATTTTGTGAGTGGGTGCATTATTTAAAAAAGGCTCAACGAGCCTTACCTCTGTTTTTGAACTCTTTCAGATCACCTGTCGTAAAGTACGCAGACGGATTTTCATCACGGCGAGCTGTTACCATCAGCTGCAGAAAATCGTTGTAAACCTAAAAAACATAAAAACAATTGTTCAGAGAATTATTGAAGTATTTTCGCCGTATAAATCATAATATTTAACAAAAAGAAGAAGAAAAGATATGCAAAAGATTACGCTGAAATAAATGAGTGGGTAACAATGTTAAGTGTATGAGTTAAATTTAACACACCTCTTGTCCTTTTTTTCTTATTTCAATTGCAGAATCTACAACCGATTTAAAGAACTCTCCAACTTCTTTACCCGCAAAACGCACCGTGAACCAATTTTTCACAAACGGAAACATCACTGAAATGAAAAATATATACATGCCATACAAACATTATAACAGACTGAAAATGATCAAATCGAAAGGCAAACATTTGTTTGAAGTGTGCTAAATAAAAAAAAACTAAACACGAAAATATAATTAAATCGAAATGCATGTCTTATAAAACGATAGAACTTTAAAATGTGCATGCTTTTTGTAGTGATACTTTTGTGCACTTTTTATGGTATTTTTTTCTGTGTTATTTGATAATTTTCATTTAAAAGTTCAAGCAAAAATACAACAAAAGCTATGATTTATATGCACACAAAATGTGTTTCTAGAATAACTTCTTCAGGTACACTCGTTACCATATTTTAATAGGGTCAAACTATAAACGCTTGAGAGCATGAAAACAAACATTGCTAAAGTACAGAAGACTACCCGTCGAACGTCAACTTTCCTTTGGATAGTGGCAACCTTAGTTTTGGTAAAATTTCATAGTTTTATCAAATGCAAATGTATCTTGTATATATCGATATCGAAACAATGTCTAAAGGGCGGATAGTACTATAGGAAACTACAAATAAGGTTTAATTTGCTAATTTAGCATTTAGAAATCTGGAATATTCTGGACAATACTGTTCATAATACAATACATACATATATAATAATTACAATCTGTAATACATGGAATGAACATCAACAGGTAAAGCCAAATACTAGAGACTGTTCTGGTCATCGAAAACAGAACAACCACATAGCTCAAGGACAACTTTTACTAAGTTTGTTGAAATTTGTACGCGATACATTTCAGTTAAAAATGCCTACTTTCGTATGGTTTCGACTTTTACAAAGCTAACTTTTGCATATTTAAAATGATATACCGTAAACTAAAATGACTTACTTATGATAAGAAGTTGAGGTTTAAATATCAGTCCAAGAGCTGCTTGTTTTGCGTGCTTTACGAATGCGTTATTTGGATCTTTCTTTGAGTTAACGTCTATACCAAAGGCAGTACTAGCAATGACATCCATGGTGTAAGCTCCACATACTCTAAAAACATTTTTAATAGATATCAACCTAACACTTGACAAATGTGAGTCTTTACTGTTGTTTTTCACCTCTCGAAGCAAACGTTTGCACCGCGGCATTACCGTCTTAATTCTAAAATAAGGAAAGCTAGACCTGTCCTCGCGCTAATTCAATCGCTACAAAAGTAAAACAAAATGCGTTTTGTCCGTTTCTGATGCTAATCATTATATTCGAACTAATTTTAAAAGGAACATTTAAATAGGCTTGACGGATTCAAACAAGGACAATCATAATATAATGTTTCCCTCGGTTTTAGTTTGTTACCCGGATTTGATTTTGCTTAATCGAATTATGACTATTGAACAGCGGTATACTACTTTTATCTTTATTTATAATATAGACCGACTACAGTGGCGAATCAAGGGGGTCCAGTGGTTTACCCCCCCCCCCCCCCCCCCCTTCCCAACCCACCACCCCTTTTTTGATTGACAAGTGATCCTTTTGTGTGATTAATAAGCTAAAGCCTTAAATAGACTTTGAACATGTACAATGAATTTTTTTAAAATGAACAGATCTATGAAATCTCTACCACAACCGTATGTATACATGTTATTTAAAAATGTAGAGCAAAACATGTAAGGGAACAAATTAAGATTAAACAAAACAAATGTTATGGAATAATTTTCAAATCTAAGACCTTACGAATACCTGGTCATTAGGAAAATATGTATTATGTTTTAACCAAAATGAATTTGAATGTTGTACAGAAAACAGGGCTGTAGAGAGGATTTTCTTATGTACTGGTCACCTTTCCTTTAATGAAAGCATGTCTTACTCTTTCATGTCAACTAGTTCTCCTTGTTCACTGTGTTGTTCAATGTTTTCAACAAGATCAGTGCAACACCTTTGTATTTTTGGGACCATCTGAAATATTAAAAGTACAATCTTCAATTGTCGGTGTTTTTTTTTAATATATGACACATATATACTAATCTGAAATCTGTATTTGTAGATGAGTACTGCGATTATTAGAATTAAGAACATGCATTTTTCGAAGGACCAGGAATAATGAGACCTGGATACAATCTCATCTATATAAGATTTTTATCTTATTTGACAATTGTATAATTTAATGATACTATCAATTTCATAAATTAAGAAAACTGCTGTTTATTGAAACACATTTAATCGGATATATCTGCGTCTCAACTTACTCGCAACATGTGTTCGCAGTCATAGATTTTTCGATACCAGAATAGTCGTATAATCTATGAAATAATCTATTGTATTACCAAATTAAACCATTACCAGTTTTAATTTCCCGGATGAAAAGGTAGGGGATATTGTACTGCGGAGAAATTTCCAATGATTATCATAGGCAGCACCAACACCACAAGCATTCTCTTTGGCCATTTTAAATGGAATCTGAAAACAAAAACAGGACTAGTAATATAGATATTTTCATTCTGATTCATACGTTTTATAGTGATAGAATAAATAATATCTTATATAATTTGTATGTCTCTTTTTTCTTATATACCTCTTTACGTGTTTCAGTTTTTATACAGACTTTCAAAGGTTTGGCTTGGAGTGTTTCTGATAATGAAAAATACAGAAAAGCGTTTCGGAAGCATAAAATTTATAAAATAATATTTCGACAATAAATGAGAAACAACTATGGCAGATAGCAACCAAGGGCAACCACTGAATTTCTCGTTTTAGGACCTTCAAATCTGTATATCAGTTGTTTACATGCATCATAACACGGCAAAATTAATTTTTGTCTAACAATACCTCTAAATAATAATCGCTGATTGGTAGAGAAATTGACCAGAAATAAAATGTTGCGATTCTTTATATGTATTGGTTGTTTTCTCTTTCAAACACATCCCACTTCTTTTGCTTATTTTAAAATTCTACAACTGTATGTCCTGATGTTTTTCACATCCTCTCATCATTAATGTTTTGAAGCTTATATCAAAACGTTATTTGGAGTTTGGTCCCGTTTTCCTTTCAAAAACATTCACAATTTGTCTTCATGTGAAGCCTGTTTGCCTGTTATCAGACCACCAAAGTCATTTGCTTATAGGTTTTATCTAGGCATTTATATATATATATATATAATTATGGCTTCCTTAAATCGACAAATATTTTATCGTTTTCGTCGAGAAATTGTTTGTCGTACACCTCATTGTTTCTCAAATGATTCAATAATTCACGTCCAATTGCTTTACTCTTCTTGCTAAGCCTAGCTTTACCTCTGAACATAAAGTTGAAGGTGAATATAGAAAGACGCATCCTACAAAGAGTTTTGCTTTTATCAGAATATGATATCAAACTTACCGATCTATTTGTAAAATTTGAGAAGTCTTTAATGAAAATCTCCTTCAACATTTCTGGATCAGATACTAACAAAATTGGCAAGTGACCTTGATATATTCTGAAAAATTATAGTACAAATCTTACAGAAAGACTCAACTCGTGATTGGTTTCATATTTGTTTGATGTTTATAAAAGATCAAAGGAAGAGGCTTACTCATGAACATTTTAAAAATATAACTTACAATAATTTTCAATTGTACGATTATTTGTGAAAAAAAGTCATAGGTCTGCATGTGTATGTATAAATCTTATTTAAATATGTGATATCTAAAAATATTTATGAATTTCGCTTCATTTGAAAGTTACTTCTGAAATATAGATACGTTTTATAATCTAAAAAAGGCGAAAGATTCTAAAGGCTAATCAAAATTCACAAGTCGAAGAGAAACCGACGGCAAAAAAAAAAGAGGGGCGAAAGATACCAGAGGGACATTCAAACTCATAAATCGAAAATAAATTGACAAAGCCATGGCTAAAAAAGAAAAAGACAAACAGACAAACAATAAAACACAAAACACAACATAGAAAACTAGACTAAGCAACACGAACCCCACCAAAAACTGGGGGTGATCTCAGGTGCCGTGGAAGGGTAAGCAGATCCTGCTCCACATGTGGCACCCGTCGTGTTGCTCATGACAACGATCAGACTACACTACGCTACATAGATACTTAAGACTAAACATCATGAACCTCATAAAAAACTGAGGGTGGTCTAAGGTGACCCGAAAGGGTAAGTAGCTACAGACCACTATTTGGATTAATGGTGGTCTAAGGTGACCCCAAAGGGTTACTTGTTACAGCACACTTTTTGGATTGAGGGTGGTCTAAGGTGACCCGAAAGGGTAACTAGTTACAGCACACTTTTTGGATTGAAAGTGGTATAAGGTGATCCGAAAGGGTAAGTAGCTACAGGACACTATTTTGATTAAGGGTGGTCTAAGGTGACCCGAAAGGATAACTAGTTACAGCACACTTGTTGGATTGTTGGTGGTCTAAGGTGACCCGAAAGGGTAAGTATCTACAGCACACTATTTTGATTGGGGGTGGTCTAAGGTGACCTGAAAGGTAACTAGCTACAGTACACCTTTTGGATTGAAGGTGGTCTAAGGTGACCCGAAAGGGTAAGTAGCTACAACACACTATTTGGATTAAGCGTGGTCTAAGGTGACCCAAAAGGGTAACTAGTAACAGCACACTTTTTGGATTGAAGGTGGTCTAAGATGATCTAAAAGGGTAAGTAGCTACGGCACACTATTTTAATTGAGGGTGGTCTATGGTGACCCGAAAGGGTAACTAGTTACAGCACACTTTTAGGATTGAAGGTGGTCTAAAAGAGGGACGAAAGATACCAGAGGGACAGTCAAATTCATAGACCGAAAACAAACTGACAACGCCATGGCCAAAAATAAAAAGACAAACAGACAAATAATAGTACAGATGACACAACATAGAAAACTAAAGACTAAGCTACACGAACCCCACCAAAAACTAGGGGTGATCTCAGGTGCTCCGGAAGGGTAAGCAGATCCTGCTCCACATGTGGCACCCGTCGTGTTGCTTATGTTATTACAAATCCGGTAAATAGTCTTATTCGGTAAATCACATTCGTGAAAAGGGAAGGGTATTGTAGTTACGACATTAGGAATATATCCGATATCATCTGTGAAACGGTTATTCCATAGCGGTCAAACAACTCGTGATGGCGTCCGTAAGGTGACCCGAAAGGGTAAGTAGCTACAGCACACTATTTTGATTGAGAGTGGTCTAAGGTGACCCGAAAGGTAACTAGCTACAGTACACTTTTTGGATTGAAGGTGGTCTAAGGTGACCCGAAAAGGTAAGTAGCTACAGCACACTATTTGGATTGAGGGTGGTCTAAGGTGACCCGAAAGGGTAAGTAGCTTCTACACACTATTTGGATTAAAGATGGCCTAAGGTGACCCGAAAAGGTAAGTAGCTACAGCAAACTATTTTGATTGAGAGTGGTCTAAGCTGACCCGAAAGGGTAAGTAACTACACCACACTATTTGAATTCTGTCGTGTAACTCATTGTTGGTACAAATGCGTTTATACGTGTCATTCGGTAATGCCCAATCTCAGAAAAGAAGATGGAATTATGGCTACGACATTTTAAACATATATGTTGTCATCTGTTTCATTGATATTTCATACAGTAAACAAAATCATGAAGGCATCAGTAAATTTTCGACTGGATGAATTAAAGTTTACCACTAGAGACCCATAGTTCAAAGCTTCATAGTAAGCAGCATATCTCTTTCAAGGAAATCATCATAGGAAACTCGAGGTCTGGAATATCGTATCCGATTAAAGATATGTACAGCATATGCAGTCTCTGCTGGAATGTTGCTACACAGAAATTGAAATTTCAAAATTGGAAAGCTTAACTTATCTCTTGTCCTAAACGTTTGTTCTCAACCGAACCTCAAGGTAACATTCCGGATTACTTTGGCAATTTATAAATAACCTATCATGCTATTTCTAGATAATAAAAGGGTATTATAAGGCATATCAACCTTCAGTTTTATCATCAATTGAGTATCTACAAGGTTAGAGATTATACACAAAAAAGAAACTTACCCCACAACAGATCCATACGTTTTAACTAATTGTAGGTCTCCTTTTGCTATTCCCTATAAAATTAACAATCATGAAAGAAAAATTTTGAGTGAAATAATTTCGATTATGGCACAAAAAAAGTTTGGGTTTACTGTTTCATTTTGTTTTCAAACTAAACTTGATTTTTAAGAACTAGGAAATATCCTTCTCAACCAAGGCCAATGTAAATATTTTAATAAACTGAATTTGGTATCCAGCAACAATGTATATTCTTTTATATGTGTTGACCGATTTACACCCAACACCTGTTGTATACAAACAAATACTTCAGCAAAAACGGTGTTAGATTCAGAGAGGAATTGATCAATTCATGTCTTAATATCACTTGTTTTCTTAGGGTATTGTATTCAGAACTTTCACGTTTTAATCGATGGAGTGAAGTTTTCTAGCTGTCTAAACGGTATGTTTTTTCCCCTCTTTGTTTAGCGAGGCCAAACGGTGACCTCCATGCCATTTCGACTCGGGTTGATTGTTTTCTTATTGACAATCCTACCACATCTCATTATTTTTATCTAAATATAATAACATTTTATTAGAAATTATTATATATTGGGCATACTGAATATCTATCGAGTCCGTGTGTGTGATTGTGTGTGAACATATTTTAAGTCACTTGCAGTAGGAGAGTGCCAGATTTTCAAGTCCGCCAATACATTTTGAAAGTTCTTATTAAACCTTTTTAGAGCATAGAGAAGCTCTTCGTGGCTAATCATTTATTAGCACATACCTTTTTTTTTCTTGTGGACTTCTTGGTCCTTTTTCTTTCTTTTGTACTTCTATTGCTATTGAAAATCATATTCTTTTTTTTATCTTGTTTGTTGTTGTTTCTAATTTCTTTTTGTGCAATATGTCTCTCTATATCTCTGATGACTATCGTTCTCATATTGTATTCAAAACAAAATTTCATGACCAATAAATGATGAAAAAATAATAATTACATGCTTCATATAAAGAGGTAGGACGCCCAGGAAAGGTATCGGTTTCGGTCCTGGAATACCCAATCGCCTCCAAAGGCTTTGATACCATAACGAATACCTATAAATACCAATTACAATTTAACATATATAGATAACAACAATTTTGTCTTGTCAAGAGACAGATAGAATCAGATCCAGTTGATTTATGCTGGTTATTAAAAACATATTAGATTTAAATCTTGCATGTAAGAATTGTTTTAGAAATTAGGGCAATTTTAAGATAATATCCGGTAAATTTTGAATTTACCCTAAATTTCAGAATCAAATATTGTCCGTACTCCTTTATATACTAGTATCCAATGACGCAATCAGATGGTTTAAATTTATTATTATAGATTTATTCATTTATTTGGCCTCTTTGAATATTGCAAATAAAATGAATGAATAGTGCAACGTGCAGTTTCGTAGCTCAGCTGTTATTTTGCATTTTTCAGCTCCAGTAAGTACACGCCCATGCACTATTTAATGGTATAAGGTGGTTATGACTGAGTCAAGCAAAGTATTACAAAGTTACAATTATGGCTTTCTGTTGATGCTGTCCTAACATCGATCAGTAAAATTTATAAAATGTCCGAAATGACATGATAGTAAAAAAAACACATGGTGTTAAAGGCCGTACGTTGCCTATAATTGCTTACATCCACTTCATTTGAACTCTGGTGGATATTTGTCTCATTGGCAATCATACCACATCTCCTTATGTTTAACGTCAATGTGACACATGAAGCAAAAATGCACACATTAAGGTCATTTCACCGTCCTTGACAATGACACAAGAGTACACGCAATTTAACTAGCTCTAAATATATTTTACACATATTGATATTCGTCTATGTGGAAATTACAAATGAAATGATCTATAACATAAACATGTATTTCTAATCATTGGGTAAAGCATGCGTACTCACAAATATAAAGTAATGAGAACGATGATTACTGTCAGAACCCATCCTGGTACGGTAATGAATCCAAGAATATCCATTTGCCTTCCGTCCACTTTCCTTACTGCAAAATATATTATTTATAGTATACCGTATATGACTATTTATAGTATACCGTCTATGTTTATCTATATGAATACAGATATAACCTTAAAAGGTAATCAGTTACAGGTAAGGAGATTTGAAGTAAATATATATGAAAATCACTGCTATATTTATCTCATTTGTCCTTAAAAAGCTAAAAAATATAGGTGAATTACAAATTTTTTAAAACTAAAGGCTTAATCTATATTTCTATCTTTCGAGGGTTCATATATCACGAATTGATATGATTAAATTGATATAATGGAAATTTTGATCATTAAACCTGTGTAACTGTTCCAAACTAAATTTGCTACTCCCTCAGGCAAAGTTAACAATAGACGGGTTTCGTTATTCTGTATAGGGCCTTAATGTTTTCATGCTCTCGAAGAGATCCCATATGATTTTCAGGGCTTTTAACTACATAAAACTGTAAATCGAAATTGAACCAAACATTAACAATTATAACTGTTTTTAGATATTTTCCTCGATATCCTCTAGGCTTAATTGAATGATGTTTAATTGTTGTTTCGAACTACTAGTATTGTGAAATAGGTTGATTGATTGTTGGTTGCTTAAAGTCCAGTGTCAAATATTTCATGCATGTTCAGGACGAGAACAAATTAACAATAAATACAATAGGTAGGTGCTGTAATAGAGGCCGTTCGGAATAAAGGTCTGGGAAATTTTGACTGCCACTGAAATATTAAGATATAATGGATAAGGACATAAATTTTGCCTTGCAACAGCAAAGAGTTGTTGCAAGGGTTTTTAACTTGCAGAGAGTCTGACGCTCTCTTTACACGAGACATCAAATTGAACGTCCCCATTCTTACAGGGCGTGGCTTGTACATCCCGCACCGTCAAACGGACACCCCACGGTAAGGGTTTTACTGCCGATCGGAAGAAGACCAATGTGACCATATTTCTATTCCCTCAATCACCCTCTGGAGTTGTGAAATAGGTAGAACACTTTAACCGTGGTTTCATTTTATGCTGAAATGTACATAAATCCTGCAGAAGTTTATTAAATAACTTTTTGTTTGAAGTGGAAATTATTTTTACCTACATTAACTTGATTAACAAATTTTCAAGGTGTTTAAAATCATAAATTATCTGCTCTATAGAGTATTCAAAAGTTAGAATCATAACAATTTCGTCAAACTAAATGCACCGATATCTAATTTTCTAAACTACTTATAAACTGTTATACTTCGCATGCTATGTGTGGTATAAACATGCATCATGAATCCATGTCAAAATGAAAATACAAAAAAAACTTTACAAGCTTCACCATTTAAACAAATGTTATACAAACTTCTAACTTCATTTCAACAAGTCCGAATACATTATCTGATAATATAAAAATGCAAGGAATTGTTTGTTATGCAGTAAAATTAATACATGTTAAATTTGGAGTAGGGATGATCTCCCCTGTAATTGTTTCACTCACAAGGTCAAATTCTTGTTATTTCCTACGGATATTTGAAAATTAGAGAGGGTATAGATGGAGAATTACAGAATAGTGTATGCAGGCAAATAAACAATAGAGAAAAAATAGCGCCAAAAATATGAAGAAAAGAGAATAATGGAGTGCTATGATATAAAGAATAGAGAATAATGGAGTGCTATGATATAAAGAATAGAGAATAATGGAGTGCTATGATATAAAGAATAGAGAATTATGGGCAAAATTTATAAAGAAGGGAGAAAAATGGCCTAAAAAATAAGAGAATAAAGAAATTTAAGTACTCTCAATCCAGACCCTCATTAGAAAGCCTTTATCACACTGTTTAACAATTTCACACATTTCCACAAAATCAAAATGTTATTCATCGCTGTATGTTGCTGTTGAAGACATATTCATACAAAATTGCCAAGCTTACATGGTTTTTTCAAATTTTGCATCGAAGGACATCGCTAACCAAAATGAATTTATTTGTATCCAGAGTACAAGACATAGATTAACGTCTAATAGATTTCAATATTGCTTAACGATCTCCTTCTTGTGCATGTTTTGGATACATACTCAAATTTGCGGTTTTGGACATTCTATAGTCGTTTATAATTTGACCACGCGTTTAGAAATAAGCCAGAATATTTCTAAAACCTTTAGGTACACATAATTGGCTGTGATACCAAGGATTTGTATAGTATCTAACTATACAAAACCTTGGTGATACTATGAACTTGAGTATAGATTGAAATACCTTTTCAAAATGGTCCCGGTGTGAAATAGAATCATGGAAATTTGCCTTACTCCTTTGTGTCTTAATAGACTGTTAAGTCGCATTCAAATACTACTTCTTTCAACAAATCTCTAATAATAACTTTACAGGTTGTTTTCTTTTAGTATGTGCAATTAGTCTATTTTAGACTAGTTATCCCAATAAGCCTGGAAATTTTGTGGCTTGTCACAAATAGGTTCACAACAGTTAAAGGATTGTCAGCATGCCGGCATAGATGATCAACTTTAACGCGTATATCTTGAACTGGATATTATATTTCATGCAATGTGTTATAGGTGTTACATTTTCTTTTCGATGTGTCTGATCATTCAAATCATTATCACACTCCTCTTAAAAGCATTGCACAGTTTATGTTTTTTAATCCTTGTTTTAAACAGAAATAGTCCCTTAAATATAGATGAAAGGAGATGTGGGTATTATTCAATGAGACAACTACCCAACGACAAAAATAAAAAAAAACAAAACTTCCAGAAGGCAACTTTCATCGTTGATCTCTTTTTTATTTTAGATTTTCTTCCATGTTACAAATTTAATATAAATATAGACGGCTATCACAGTATATGATAAAGAAAGGGGTCCGGGGAATCTTTTCTTTTGCAAAAACACTAAAGTGCAAGATAACATCTGATCCGGGGGGACGGGTGCAACCGGGTTCACGTAACACCCCTTAAGGTTGGCAAATATGGTGTGTACATAGTGTGCAATTTAAAGTTTTATTATTTTTTAACTCAATTAGTCTATGTTAAGACTATTCCAAACTAAAAGATAAATTGGAAGAGTTGGTCCTGCTTTGTTTCATAAAAAAGATAGCCAACGTAGATACAAGTATCTTGTCTTAGGGAGGGATAAATCGTACTTTGTAAAAAATAACTCCGATTCAAACAAAACATTCACTGAAACTGACATTATCAAGATGCTTGATTTCTTGATTTACATCATATTTGTTACGTTTGGAGAACGTGGTTTTCAACAAACAATCGGCATTCCCATGGCAATGAACTGTGCTCCTCTTCTTGCCGACTTGTTCCTTTATTCATATAAGGCTGACTTTATACAGAAACTTCTTAGGAAGAAAGAAAAGAAGTTAGCAGTATCCTCTAACTGTACTTTCCGCAATAGAGATGATGTTCTTTAAATAATTCAAAATTTGGTGACTATATTGAACGCATCTATCCCATCGAACTTGAAGTAAAGGATACAACATATACAGTTAAGTCTGCCTCATATCTTGACATACATCTAGAAATTGACAATGAGGGTCGGTTGAAAACAAAACTTTACGACAAAAGAGATGATTTCGGTTTCCATATTGTGAACTTTCCATTTCTATGTAGCAACATTCCATCATCTCCTGTATACGGAGTATATATCTCTCAGTTAATACGATATTCCTGGGCTTGAATTTTCCTATTATGATTTCCTTGATAGAGATTTGCTGCTAACAAGAAAAGCTTTTAAACCAAGAGTTCCAAGTAGTGAAGTTGAAATCATCCCTTCCGTAAATTTTACGGGCGTCATCACGAGTTGGTTGATCGTTATGGAATACAGATGACAACGGATATGTTCAAATTGTCGTAACTACAATCCCGTCCCCATTTCTAGGAATGTGACCTACCGAATTAGACTTATCATTGGGTTTGTACTTACATGAGCAACACGACGGGTGTTAAGCAGGATCTGCTTACCATTCCGGAACACCTAAGAACACCCCTTGTTTTATTTCAAAGGGGTTCGTGTTGCTCTTTCATTAGTTATACGTGTTGTTCTTTGTGATTTTTAATTTTTCAATGTTTTTGTTTTTTATACCGATAGCAGTCTCGTCTATCCTTTATCATGACAAAACTATCAAAATATCAAAATTTCACATTCGGCCAAGCTTCAGGGTTAGAACATTTAACATGACCGATGGTCTATAATTTGGTGATGTTTTTGGGTTAGATAAGAGTCAATTACCAATCCGCTACAGTGTGATGTCTAATCACTTGATATAACTTATCAACGTATTTTATAGGAGTAACACGACGGGTGTCACATGTGGAGCAGGATCTGCTTACCCTTCCGGAGCACCTGAGATCACCCCCAGTTTTTGGTTGAGTTGATGTTTCTCAGTCTTTAGTTTTCTATGTTGTGTTTTGTGTACTATTGTTTGTCTGTTTGTCTGTTGGCTCTTTTTCTTTTTTAGCCATGGCGTTGTCAGTTAATTTTTGACTTATGAGTTTGAATGTCCCTTTGGTATCTTTCGCCTCTCTTTTGTAACACAGAAAAATGCCTGTATTTGCTGTCAATTTACATTGTTAAGACAATACTGCTGTTGTGTCTAATAAAGAAGGTTATACAATTTATGTTTGTGCTTGGAGATTTACCAAAGCTATGATAAGTTACGTTGTTTGCATTTTGTCTGTGGAATAACCTCAATATTTCAAGGAATTTATACGCAATAAACGTTGAAATATTGCTTCAAATCATATGAAGTGCTTAAATCAAAGAAAACAAAAAAGGTAAGATAGATATTTCTTTTCTATTTTCTATTTACATCCTTCATTCTTTTTATCTTGCGAGAAAAATATTTTACAGCGTGTACTTATAGTACAATGGTGATGTTATATCGAAGTAATTTGTTGACAATTGTTGGTCTTTCCGTTGTTTTTCTTGTTGACCTTGGTATTGCCTGTTTTACCTCGAACTAAGGTTTTTTTATTGTCATCTTGGTATATTCTGCCTCTTTTTTGAAGTCTTATTTTTTTGTTGTTGCATCAAT